TTGCCGATGCACCTGCTTTGGGAAGGAGTGGAGCTTGTGGTCCACTCTATTCTACTCTCTTAATTTTCGATGCATACTCTGCTTTTCCGGAGACAGCGATGTCCACAAAAGTGGGATTCGGCGCTGGGTGTGCAGCAGCCGACCAAGTCCTCCAGGGTGTGAGGTGGTGAAAGATTATTCTGCAGAAAAACGGTCTCCATACACAAAGCAGGAAAAATGGAGCCCTGAGGAAAAACATCTTCCCTTGTGTCACCTTTTGCAGGAGTGTAAACAGGCGCTGGCACCGCCTTGTCTTTCCGGGTCACAGAACCGCCTCCTTCCTTCGCCCGCGGAAGGATGCGCTCAGGGAAAACTGGTGCCTGCCCTCCACAGGGGCCGCGGGTGGGTTCTAGCTTCAGCTGTGAAAATGGAGGAGCGATTCCAGAATAAAATAGGGGTTTTCTCACAACCTGCCCTTCTCAAAGAAAGACCCAAAGACACATGCAATCCATTAATTTTATTCAATATATAAAAATGATGTGAATAGTGCAGGGGTAGCCAATTTCACTGAAACAGGTGAGCACACACGATAGAAAACTCACAATGCGGATGCCAGCAGCAGCTGTGGAGTCGCGATGAAGCTCGCTGGGTTTATGTAAAGCCTATTTCAGCGTGTGTATGAAGAAGTTACTCAGTGCCCTGGTGGGGGGAGCTTTTGCTTTCGCTCTGATAGAGACTAGCAGGTCAGCATCCTTTGGTTCTTTCAGTGATGCTCAAAATATCCTGCAGTGGTCCACACCCACCAGAACTTTGGCCAATTTTTAACTTGAAACGTTGCCTGGAAAGCCACCCCCGGAGAGAATCCACTTTTCTCTCCTCGCACTGCTGAACACGGCTGGCAAAACCCATCCGCTGCCCTTCTGCCCGAGCCCCTGCGCTCCCTCGGGCTGGCGAGAGGGACTGGAGCTCGGGCGGGCCCTGGCTTTGGGAGGGCCGGGCAGGGAAGGACGAGGCCGGGACCCTGTGAACTGCCGGGCTGGCTCCCAGCCAGCGCCTGGGCTCCCAGGAACCCGCGGAAGGGCCAGGAATACCCTTCCTCCTTGTTTATCTGGAGAGCTGCCCCAGCCGTTCCCAGCCGCATCGGATCATCTGTCGCCTGTGGCATTTCTCAGAGCAGGGCAGCCTTCCCTGGGGAGCCGAGCGGCTATTCCCACACTGGCCTCGGTTCCCAGCACAGCCCGCGGGGGGGTGGGGGCAGGAGATGCGCTGGGCTGGGGAGCCAGCAGTGCTGAGCCAGAGCGGCCACGCTGGCCTCCTCCGGCACGGGCCGCTCCGCTCTGCTCGGAGCTGCAAGCCCGTTGCTGGCGCAGTGTCCCCTTTCAGACCCATGCAGGGATGCCAGGCTGTGGGGCCCCGGGCAAGGCCAGAGCGCCAGCGAGGGCCACCCCCACCGAGACCCCCTCTCCCCCCTGCGCCCTGCTTGTGCCCCTGCCGCTCGCTTTGGGAGGGCAGAGGTCGGCTTGTTCTTGATGCAGCAACGTCGATGGGAAGAAGCCGGTCTGTGGGTGCAAATGGAAGGGGACAGGCCGGAGTCGGCCTTTGGGCACGAGCCCTGCACACTCGCCCTGGCGACCGCTCGCTGCTCCGGGAACAGATCAGCCCTCGGGGGGTGCCGTGCTCCGCAATCCGCCCCCACTGGCCTGCAGCCTCCTCCAGGTTTGCGGCACCGCTCCTGGGTGCTCCTGGGAGGCGGGAGGGAAGTCGCCTCGTCACGAGGAGCGCGTGCCCAGGGGTGTTCCCAGCTGATGTGGCGCAGAGGTGGCACCAGGAGGCCGGGGAGCCCTTGCGTCAGCCAGAAAGCCATGCTCTGGCCACGGGGGGCTCCTGAGCCGCTGGGTGTTCCAGGCTCCCCTTCAGGCGGAGCCATGACTGGAAGAGGCCACCTCACCTGGAGCCCGGGGAGCCGGGACTTCCCCTCTGTGGGCCTCAAGCGCACCTCTTCCTCACTCCACACCCCAGCAGGGCTGGCCCAGGCCAAGGGACTGTGGAAGCCCCTCCGCCAGGTGGCGGACCCGGGAGCAGGCGCTGACCTGGCTGGGGAAGCTCCTGCTGCCCCACCCGACCTTTGGCTGCAGCCTCGCCTCCTGGTTCCTCACTCACAGGCAGTGTGCCAGAGTGATGGCGGGGGGGGGGGGCCCTCCTGCACGTGCTTCCTCAGAAATAAGCCTGGGGGAGGCTGGTGGGCACCCGCCAGGGGAGGCAGTTTGGGCCTGCAGCCCCACATGAGCGCGGCTGCCCCGCCTGAACACCTGCAGGAGCGGCCTGCCCCCACCTGCTCCCCCCACGCCCCCGTCCCCGCCTAAGCGCTCGCCTTCGGCCTTTGCACGCCGGGTGCGTCCGCGCTGGCTGGAACCAGGGTGCGTTTGCCATTCCACGCTCTTCCGCGGGGATGCCTTCCTCACCCCCTGATCAAAGGCAAGATGAAGGCCAGCTGTCAGCAAGGCCCGGATTTGTGGCCACTTGTCCGGTTTCTGCATCCGGCTCAGCGGCAGTTCCTGGCGCGCAGCGAGGTGGGCTCCCCAGCTTCGGTGCCGAAGGGCAGGGGCGGCTCCGGTGAGGCCGGGGGCCTCTTTGCCAGGAGACGGTCCCTCGCAGCTGAGAGCTGCCTTGGGCAGCTGCTGGACCCCTCCCCCCAGCGCAGATGTCCGGCAGCTGCATCCGGGAATTGAGGACCGTCCTGCCCTCGCACTGACACACTCCCTCCATTCCTGTGGCCACACCGACCCCGCGAGGTCCCAGCCAGCCCCTGATCGGCAAGTCCTCTGGGCTTGTTTTCCATGGCTTCAGGTGTGGGGTGCGGGGCACACAGAAAGAAGAGAGCTCGGTGGGGGTGGAGCAAGGTCTGCCTTGGTGTCCAGGCTAGGAAAGGGCCCAGAAGAGACTCTCAGCTGGCCCCTGCGCCTTCAGCCCGGTGAGGGGCAGGCACCCCTGTTCCCCTGGGGAAAGGGGCTTCAGCTTGGGATGCATTAACAGAAGTATTACTTCCAAATCATGAGAAGGAGTAGTTCCTCTATACTCCGCACAGGTCAGACCTCACCTGGAGTCCTGTGTCCTGTTCAGGGCACTGAGATTTAAGAAAGATGCAGGAAAATTAGAAAGGGTCCAGCGGAGGGCAACCGAAACGATGCAGGGCTTGGAGACGCTGCCCTGTGAGGAGAGACTGAGGGAACGCGACACGTTCAGCCTTGAGGAGAGAAGGCCGAGGGGGACATGAGATCCCTCCATACGTCCCTCAAAGGCTGCCACAAAGAGGAAGGTCAAGAGCTCTTCCCGCTGATGCCAGAGCGTAGGACACAGAATAATCAAGTCAGTTTGTGACAGCCCCGGTTCAGGCCGGACGTCGGGAAGAGCGTCCTCACTGCCAGAGCAAGACGGCAGTGGGCCAGCCGCCCGGAGAGGCGGGGGGCTCTCCACGCTGGAGGCGCTCAGAAGAAGCTGGCCGGCCGTCTGCGTGGGAGGGTGTAAGTGGTGCCCCGTGCCAGCAGGGGTTGGACACAATGGCCTCTTCCGACTCTACTATTCTGTGATTCTATGGTTCCCAGGATCTGTTCCAGGCTTTGCACTTTATTTTAAAAGGGAGGTGTCTGAGCATATGCAGAGAGCTTTCACCACACATGTGAGGAACAGCTAGGGAGCAGCCTTTCCAGGGCTGGGGGAGGGGCTGGATCCCCACAGCTCCTGCAGCACGTGGATTGGCCTCTGATGCTTGACTACTTGAGGGAGTTGTATCTCTCTGCAAAGGGACTTCGGCGCCATGCGGTTTCCGCAATCGATGCAGACAGTGCTTTAAAGCACAGCGGGAAAACTCAGCGCTGGGCAAAACCAGCCCTGCTAGAGCCTGTTGAAGGTCAGGACGTGCCCCAGGCCGGCGGCTGCCCCAGCCCCGCGCCTTAGCAGGGCGGAGGGAGGCCGCGCACCCGGCTCGTGTCCCCGCTGCCAGCCCCGGGCCGTACCCTCTGTTCTCGCTGCAGGGGGCCGGGCGCCGCAGCCGCGTCTAGGAAGCCTTTTCTTCCGCACGGGGCGGGGGTCGATCCCATGGCACGCACCTCACCCTCGAGGCGTGGCGTGAGCCCAGGATCGGGCCCACATCGCCCGGAAGCCCGGTCGGGGCCAGGACCGCTCGCCCCCCGCGCCGCCCGGTGCCGCGGCTACTGCGCCCGCCTCTGGCCGCCCTCCTCCGCTGCCCGAGCAGGCGGGGCGCGGAGCGGCGCCGGCCCGCGCGGCCTTCCTTCCCCGGAGGCCGTGCCCGTTCCCACTTCTCTGCCCCTTCCTGCCCTCCCCTCCCTCTCCGCCCCCTTCCCCTCCCGGCCAGCCTCTGCCGGCGCCGCGCTCCTCCAGCCGCGCCGCGCGTTGCACTTCCAGGGGAAGCGGGGTCCGGGCAGGGCTCCTCGGCGTGCGCTCACCTGCCGCCGCGGCTGGCCCGGGCCCTCCTCTGCGCCGGCCCGGGGCTGGGCAGCCGCGCCCCCCATGCGGCCTCCGCCCCGCTGAGGCGCAGCTGCTCCGAGATGCTGCCGCGCGCGGCCGGGGCCCTCCTGGCGGCGGCCCTCCTCTGCAGCTTGTCCCGCACCGAGGTAGGCGGCGCGGGGGTGTCGTCCGGGACCCGGGCCTCGGCCGCCCGAGCCGGCGGCGGGACGCAGTGCGGCGCCTCCGCGCCCTGCGCACGGGAGCAAGCGCCCCCCGTGAGCTCCGGGGCCGCCGCGCTGCGTGACGCGCCTCGGGGGCCCGAGCGGGAGCGGGCCGGCGCGGGTGGGGAAGAGGGGTGGGACAAGCCCCGCGCGGCGGGCCGGCCGGCCGGCGGAGCGCGGCTGCTTCTGCGGGGCGCGCCGTGCGCCTTCCGTGCCCCGCGAAGCGAGGGCAGGTTCGGGGGCGGGTTGGGCCGGCTGTTTCTCCGACGGTTCGGGAAGGTCCGGGCCCCACGGCGATGCCTCCTGCACCCATGCGCAGGCACCAACGGGGGCGTCATGGGGGCCTGCTCTGCATGCAGAGCTGTGGAAGAACCTCGAGGAAGCCCCCGGGGGCCGCCGCTGCCAGTCAGTGCCAGCAATACGGAGCCAGGCGGCGCCTTCCCGGGCGAGCAGCTGGAGAGCTTCCTGGGCAGAAAATGCAAGTGCAGGGGGCAGTCATAAGAAGGCCGGGGAGGCCCGTTTGGACATCTTTTTTTAACAAAATAAGTTTGAAATTATAATTCTAAAGAACAAAGAAAAACTACAAACGACATCCATCATCAAAAACAGCGAGCCTGCTGGGTCAGCCCCCACACCCTTCTTTTTCCATTTATGATAACTTAAACACATATTTAAACCTATGCAAAGTCCCGTTTCTCTAGGCAATAATAAAAAGAGTCCCATGTTTGATAGAAGTCAGTTTGGACAGCTTTTTAAAAAGGCAGGGCCCTTTATTTATTTATTTATTTATTTGTGAGCCGCCCGAGGCTTTGTTGCGATGGGGGCGGCATAGAAATGTTTTAAAAATAAATAAGTAAATAAACAAATGTACAGCTGTTGGCACAGACAGAGGCCAGGGGCGTTCTCCAGCCCCTCCCCTGCGACTCTGCGGTTCCGCCCGGTCGCACGGTGCCCGTCCTGCGGTGCCGGAGTCTCCCAGCGTGCCTGCAAATCCACACGAGCCAGCAGTGCCCTGTCCGGTTTTAGATCTCGCTCACCCCCCAGGGGCACTCGTTCAGCAGCCTGCGCGGAAGGGGACGTGGGAAGCCGGCCGGGCGGCCTTTCCTGAGCCCCCCCGACACCCCCCGCAGTGGCAAAGCTGGGGGCTCCAGTCTGGTGCTTGACAATGCCCCACCTCTGGCAGAGCAAACGGGGGTGGGAGGCGCTTCCCTTCCCTTTGATCCTCGGAGCAGATCTAAATCAAATGCCTGTCATTTGAAGCAGCGTTGGCCACGTCTCCTCAGTCAGATCTCTGCAAAGACGCGCGCGCCTGTGCCGGCCTTGCGTTGCGTCGCTTGCTGCACCTCCGGGAGGTCATCGCTGTCACGCTGAGCTCAGCTGTGTGGGGTAGAATTTAGTGGGTGGCCAGGGAGCAGACGGGGGCGGGGGGGGCACTTAGGGGCAACTTTCATTCCTTCCTCCTGGCTAGAGCAAAAACCGGCGCCTCCTTGCGCTGTCGCTCCACACGCAGCATTTGGTTGAGTTACTTTCCCCAACCTCTGGGTGGGTGGCACTACAACTCCCATCACAGAACTGCCTCTCTAGATGGAACTTGGCTCTCTGGCAGAAGTGGTTCAGCCTCTCTGAGGTAGAACAGAAGCTGCTGGAAGCACAAGAGGCAGTGTGGCGCAGTGGTTAAAACAGGGCTGGGGCTCAGGAGCTCTGGGTTCGAGCCTCCGCTCAGCCGCGAAGCTCACTGGGAGACTCTCAGACGACCTGCCTCACAGGGCTGTTGTTGTGCAGCTGAGATTGCAAGGAGAAGCATTTCAGCCGCTTGAGTTCCTTGGAAGGAGAAAAGGCGAGAAACGAATCTAGCAGATCTGAGAAGCCGGGAACCCTCTGCTTGGCTCGCAGTCCTGCAGGGCGCCCAGGAGAGCGGCGCTGGCCTTGTCTGCGCCCTTCAGGATCACGGGGGGATTTGGGCAGGTGCGGCTTCCTCTGTGGCCGCGCCGCTCCCGGCCCGGCCCGGCCCGGCCCTTGGCGTCCGCAGGCAGCGACGCCTCCCGAGCCGCTCGCAGGGCGCGCGCAGAGGGCGCCTTTGTTCCGCGAGGCGGTCGCCCTGCTCGGCGGCGCGTCGCCAAAGGCCAAGGAGCGCCGGCTCGGCCGCATCCAGCGGCGGGGCGTGAGCGCCGCCTGGCGGCCCCGGCCGGCACTGCAGCCCCGCGGCCGCCTCGCTCTCGGTCCCGCTCCTGCGCGGAGGACGTCGGCGGCGGGTCCTGCGAAGCCTGGCCTTGGCAGCCAGGCGGGCTCCGGGCCGGAGGGAGGAAGCTGCCCGCGGTGCCCACGCGCCCCCCTGACGGCCCCCTTCTCTTGCAGCTGGTGTCTCCTTCCGACCCCTCCGCAGGAGGTGAGTGCTGCTTTCCGGATCCTTGGGGGGCGGGGAGGGGCCGTCCTCATGCGGGGGCCTCACTGCACTGCAGAAGCTGGGGCTGAGCCCCCGACCCACACACCCGCACGTGTGCGCCGCGAACGAGGTCCAAATTGCGTGTGAGGGAGGCAGAGGGTGGGGCATCGAGGGCCGGAATTCAGGAGGTGGCGCAGGGGGGCGCCTGGCATCTCCGAAGGAGAGGACCCCGCTTGGCGCAAGATGGGCGTGGCGTCCTGTGCAGGAATAGGCGCCGGAGCCTGCTCCCGGGGCTGGGGGCTGCCCCCCGCCTGCTGCCTGGGCGCACCCTCGGCTGGGCGGCCCCCCCGGACGATGGGGGCGCTCACAGGGGCGGTTGCTCTCCTCCTCGGCTGCTGCGCGGGCGCGTCTGAGCAGGCGGGGGGGCGGGACAGGCGGTGCCTCACCCCGCGCCCCCTGGCGCCCCTTCCCGTCCCGCCCCGTCCCGTCCCGCCCCACAGTGGTGCCCTTCGAGGAGGTGTGGAGCCGCAGCTACTGCCGGGCCCGGGAGACCCTGGTGGACGTCCTGCAGGAGTTTCCGCACGAGGCGGAGCACATCTTCAAGCCGCCCTGTGTCCCCCTCTGGCGGTGCGCCGGGTGCTGCGGAGACGAGAGCCTGGAGTGCACCCCCACGGAGACCCGCACGGTCGAGCTGCAGGTCGGTGCCCCGAGGGGCAGCCTCCAGCGGGGCCTCCGCCCCCCAGCCGCTCCTCCCCACGGACGGACGAGCCCCGGGGCTCTGCCTCGCCTCCGCCCGCCTCTTGCAGCCCCTGATGCCGGCTCCCAGGCCCCTGAATTAGAAGCGGGGACGCGGGCCCAGAGCTGCGGCCCGAGGAGTGCGCGGCACACACGGACGCGCTTGGCTCCGCATTTCTGGGTTAAGAACACAGGGCTGGGGGTGGGTTTTCACTGGCACAATGCGTGGGGAGAAAAAATCCCCCTGTACAGCTGACACGCGAGGCCTTCCTGGGGGCTGCTCCCGGGGTCTGAAACCCCCTGCAAGGGGAGGCTGGGCGGGTGCCCTGGGCCGGTGTGTCTGGAGCGTGTGTGGCGCAGGCAGGCCTTGGGGAGCCTGGTGGGGCTGCGGCGGTACAAGCGGCGCCCTCTCCCTTATGGCTGCGGGAAGGGGCAGGCGCCTGGCCCTGTGCGGACGGCTGGGCAGGACCAGAGGGGGCCTCGCACCCTGAGCCCCGTCCCTGCAGCAGCCGGCCGGCCGGCCGGGGACCAGCCAGCGCAGCTGGTGACGGCCTGAACACCCCCCGGCAGGTGGTGCGGGTCAGCCCCCCGCTGGGCACGACTCTGCAGGAAGAGATGAAGTTCACGGAGCACACGCGATGTGCTTGCCGGTGAGTCGGGGGCACACGAGTTGCTGGCCGGTGGCGGCATCAGCTTGTGGGGGGGGCAGCAACTGGGAGGGGAGGCGCTGGAGGAAGGACGTGGGCAGGATAATCCGCTTCCAGCTGGAGCTCGCCATCAGTCCCGCAAACAATTTTCCACCCTGGATCTGGGGCCTGCAGCATGTGACGTGCCTCTGAGCATGTGCAGAGCCCCTTCCCTCGTCCAGGCTGGAGGACAGGCCTGGCCTACTGCCCCGAGGGTTCCAGAAGCAGCCCTTGGTTTTAGGAGTGGCCACGGAAGCTGCTTGCTGCGCCTGGCTGTTCATGCAGCTGCAGGCTGGCTGTTGGTTGCCCCGCAGTCCCAAAGCTTAATGTGAGTGGCTGGCCAAGGATGCTGGGAGCTGTCATCCAACACGCCCAGCAGGCACAGGGCTCGGCTTGGCCGGGGCCTGGGAACAACGCCGAGTCACTTTCGCCGCTTGTTGTGGGGGTCCCATGAAAGCCAGCGGTCGCCTCCTGCCTCCGCTCGAGAGGTGCCGGCCACCTGGGGTGCCCAGCATGGCGCAGTGCCAAGCTGGGGCTCGGGAGGCCTGGGAGCGCGTCCACACAGCCCTCCGCTCACTGGATGAGCTGGGCCAGCCACAAACCGACAGCCTGGCCCACCTCACAGGGTTCCTCTGAGGACGAATGGAGGGGGAATTGTCTGAGCTGCCTTGCAGGGGAAAAGGTGGGATACAAGGAGCGGGCCAGTGTGAGCATCGCCCCCCACTCCCCGTGACACGGAGTCTAAACACCTTCCCTCTTCCGTTTCCAGGCCTCGCCGAAAACGCTTGAAAAGCGAGAGGTACATGTGGGGATGGTGGGCCAGAGGGGTGTGCGAGGAGGGGTTTCGGGGGGCGTCTTTGGTGGCGCACAGAGGCTGCCCAGCATTCCCTGGTTACCGGGCACCAGCCCCCCTTTTCCAGTCCCTCTCGTGGGCAGAGCCCAGTAGGGAGGATCTGGGAAGGTCTTCGCTGGAGCGCCCCTGACTCTTCTTCCTCGCGTCTAGGAGCCAGCGGGTAGCAGCCAAAAGGAGACCTCGGCAGCCAAGCCTCGAGCCGTCCGCACCTGTGTAAGTACCTCGTGGCTGGCAGCCACCCTGCGGGGAACAGGCCACGTTCGGGGGGAGCCCGGCCTGCAGCTCAGTGCCAGCCCAGGTGGGCTGCACTGGATGGGGGCTCTTCCCAGGGCTGGGCAGAGAGGAGAAACCTCACCTGCAGTCTAATCGACTCGACGTGACCAAACGAAATGGGATTGGGGAGGGGAGAGCGGAGCAGAGCAGAGCAGAGCAGTCAGACTCCGGCACCCGTTCTGACGCTGGGCGGCTGAGCAGCGCCAGACCCCCCTCCCTTCCAGTGCACTCCCCTCCGCAGCCAGTCGCCTTCCTCCTCGGGCCGATGGGGAAGGCCCAGGCGTGACGCTCTGGCCGCCAGGAGGTGGCGCTGCGGCCTCGGCGCTGGTGGAAGCGGGGAGGAGGAGGAGATGCGGCCCGCGCCCCGGGGCCGGACTGCGAGCGAGCGAGCCGTGGGGCCTCGGGAAAGTGCGTCTCGGGTCCGTCTGCTGGCTAGTGGGGTTCCGCCCTGCTCCCCCGCTCTGCTGAGCAGCCCCGAAAGGCTAAGCACCGTCTTTGCATGGCTGCAGGGAGGATGCCTGGACCGAACCGCCGGAGAGCAGAGCAGAGCAGAGCAGAGCAGAGCAGAGCAGAGCAGAGCAAGGGAACGGCGGCTCTGCCTGCACAGCCACAATTCTGCCGCATGTGCTTTTTCCAGCAGCTGCAAACTTCCTGACCTGGGGAAGGAAGATGCTCCGGAGGAAGACCGGGCGGATGCGCCGGCCGAGACCCAGGCTGTGCCCCCGCTGAGAAGAGCTGCCCCCCTCTGATGCCGGAGCAGGGCAGCGGCGGACGGGCGAGTGGAACAACTGAGCGCTGCGAAGAGCCAGCCGCCCCCTGCAGCACCCGGCCCGTGGCTCCTCTGTGGCCTTGTGGACACGGAGGGCGTGGGGGGCACTCCTGCTCTGTGGGGGCCAGTGGCTGGTGGCACCTTGCTGCCCTCCAAGGGGCATTGCTCACTGCCCCCTCCCCCCGCCCGGGGAAAGCGCCCCCCCTCCCTCCCTCCTCCGGTGGTGGCAGCCATCGTGCCCCAAAAAGGCCTTGGCAACCCTCCCAGGACAGCGCTTCGCCTCTCGTTTCGGGTGCGCCCCCCTGATGCCTCACGCCCATGCCTGTTTGATGGACTCATGCGTGTGCGTGCAGGTGTGAAGTCGTGCTTTATATGCTGCGCCATCAGGGAAGCCCAGCAATTAATTTTTAAAATAGAGAACAATGTGGGTTGGCCTGTTTGGAAGCCAGGCAGGGCTGCTCCTGAATCCCAAGAGCGGGAGTGAAGTCTGACTGCCGGGAGATGAGAAGGGAAGGGCACTCTGCATCGGCCCAGTGGCACTGGCGCCACCTTGGCTATCACGTGTGCCTCCTCATGGACTGCTCGCTTCACTTTCTTTCTTGTCCTCCCGGGCCCTCCGCGGGCCCTCCGCTTCCCCAGCAAAACGCTGCAGTGCCTTTCCCGCACCACGACACAGTAGCCTGCCCTCTAAGGTGCCTTGGAGTTAATTAAACCATGCTAGAGTGCGCTGGAGGCTGTTGTGTGACGCTTTTCCTGGAATCACAGTGGGTCGAGCGGGTTTCTTAATCTTAATTTGCTCAGGTTAAAGGAGCAGCGGTTCCATGGTGGAATCTTACAGAAACAAACAGTAGGAAAAGTGGGGAACAGGATCAAACTGTCTCCAGCTTTGGTTGCAAGCTACTTGAAGGGCACAATCCTACCACAAGTTTGCCCTGAAAAGACGCCTGCAGCTCGCAGCAGGCCCCAGCAAAACATTTTTCAGGCGAACGATGGTGCGTCGGGTTGGAGCGCACTTTAAAGAAACGCGCCCCGAGGGGTGAAATGAGGGCTCGGCGCCTTCAGTGGATACGCCGCGCGTGTGCACAGAGCTTAAGGACAGCATCGCGACGGAAGGAGGCACCCGCACCTGGGTCCCCGGCGCTGTAGAATTTAAGCACACGCTGCCCGAGCGACGTTCGCACAGGCGGGACGCGCGTCCTGCAGTGCTCGGGGGATGAGCCTGCACGCAGTGGCCTCTTGGGAAAGGCGCTTCCTGGGGAAAAAACCCTTCCTGGTGCCACGTGGACTCCTTCCTGCCAGGAGGGGACCGGATAACCTGGGAAACGTATGCGCAGAGAGAGTGCGCTGGCGCAGTTTCAAGCGCGGGGCTTTGAATGACTGGACGGGGCGGGGGTCCCCACAGACGTGACCCCCGCCCTGCTGGGTGCCGTGAATTCAGCCCGCGGGCCACTCCATCCGAAGTTCAGCCGGGGCGAGTGTCTCATTCGGGTACTGAAGCTCTGGGACCGGGATCGTGGTAAGTGGCACTGTGGAAAAGCCACCGGTACCCGGAGCCGCTCCGGACGCAGCCCGGTTCCTGGGGAAGTCGAGGCATCGAAGAGGTTCCACCCGGCGGAAGTGACTCACGGCTCCTGCGTGCTCGAGGGCTCCTCCCCAGCCTTCCTGGGCGCTTCCCAGGGCAGCTGCGCTCCGGGACACCCCGGGGCCCTCCCCGCCCCCTTCCCACCCAACCTCCCCGCAACTCCCGGCATTCCTCAGGCAGCCCCAGCCCGGGCATGCTGGGAGCTGCGCGGCTGTGCTCCCCAAGCGCGCACAAGCGCCCGCCCTTAATGTCTGGGAATCGGTGCTGGCGTGACCTGAAGGAAGCGCTCGCAAGAGCTCCGTGGGCGCACGAGGCGGGCACTCTGCGCACGGCCAGAGACCCTCTAAGGGCCAGCCCTGGCCAGGCTTAAGCGGCAGCTTCTGGCGGCTCAGATTCGCGTCTGGCGAGGGTGGATCGGAGCGCGGGGACAAAGCGCTGCAAAGCCCTGGAAGAGCCGCGGGGAAAGCAGGAGCCAGGGAGGGGTCGCATTCCAACGCCATGTGTCACCTCGGCCGACGCGGAGGCTTCTGGGAGTCGTAGTATTTCCCCCTCCCCGCGGAGGTCGGGCCAGGTAGACGCTCAGAGCCCCGGGACCTTTTGTTTTCGCGCAATAATCTCCGACCCCGTCGACTGCATTACTGCGCGCCGGCCTTTCCGCTGCCCATTAATCAGACAGAGGACGGTGGCCTCTGCACATGGGCAGAGTGCAATTGTTCCGCCGATGCGTGAGCCTGCGCTGGCCACCGAAGAGGAGGGGCAGGCTTCTGACGGCGGCTGAAACGGCGCCTTCCAAACTGACGCGTCCCCAGCACCTCTTAGAATGAGTGCAAGGAAGAGCCCGGGGCATGCGCGCCTCAGCCCGCAAACAGGGACGGGCGCTCGGCACATGCCCCGAGGCCTCCCCGTCCTCTCCGCCAAGGCGAGCCGGGGGCTCCGATAGCGTGTCGCCGCTCCGGAGTCGGCGAGGCACGGACTACAAGGCCCAGAGCGCCGCGGCCCCACCTGTGCGATCGCGGAAGGGCCCGGGGGGCGGGCGCGGGGCGGGGCGCCGCGGAGGGAAACTCGCTCCCCGGGACGGCCGGAGGCGTGCGCGCCTCCGCCGGGCTGTGGCTGCCGGAGCCGGCTGGGCGGGAGCGGCGGAGTCCGCGCGGGATCGCCAGCAGCCCGGAGGTCCGCGGGAGCGGCCGCCGCGGGGTCCAAGACCCGCCACCGGAGGTCAGTCGGGCCCCTCGCCCGGCCGGGCGCCCGCGCGTGTTCCGCCCGGCCGGGGGGCGCTGCGCGAGCGCCGCGGGGCGGCGGCGGGTCCGCTCTCGGAGGGGCGCCGGAAAACTTTCCGCCCCGCCTCCTGCTCGCGGTGTGGCCGGGGAGGGGCGAGCCCCCCGGCTCTCGGGGGCCCCGTCCCCACGCGCCTGCCCGGGAAGCCGCCTTCGCGGCGGGAGTGGTGGGCGCGGACGCCCCCCGCGCGCCTCCTCCCCTCCCTCTACCCCTCCCGCCCCCCCTTCCCCGCCCCGCGGAGAATCGGGGCCGTCCGGCCGTCTCCCGGCCGGGCTCGGCGGGCGGAGGGATCGCACGCCCGGGCTTGCTCGGCGCTGCTGCGGCTGCTGCGGGCGGACGGGGCGCTCGGCGGCCTCCGCGGGGCTTTGGGGGCGCAGAGGAGAAGCGGTGGGCAGGAAGCGAGGGGGGAGTCGCGAGGAGGGAGTCGCGATGGGCTCCCCCCGTGCTGGGGGGTGGGAGGTGGGGCTGATCAGGCATTTGGCGGGGGGGGGAGGCTGCGTGGGTGGCCCTGCCTGGCGCCGTCTTTCTTTCTTCACAAGGTTGATAATCGCCCTCCGCAGCAGGCGGGCGGGGGGGGGGGGGGGGGGGGGGGGTGGGAGGCACACAAAATGGGAGTCAAAAATCAGTTCTCACTGTGGCCTGCCAGGTGGAAGGGCGGCCTAAAAGGTCTAGCTCAAACACGCTACCGGCTGTGAAAGCCATATTCAGTTAAACTGTTGTATTAGTAGAGAAATTATCAACAATAACAACCCCCTTCAAGATGGTCAGTGAAGATTTGCCCTGAGGCTTAGTGAGGGCAGCGGGTTGGGCAGAGTGAGTCATTGTTGCAACTTTTCTTCCCCTTTTTGCCTGACTGTCTTTTCTGGCCCTGCCCGTTGTTCGAAGGCGTCACATGCCTGGGCCCTCATGTGGCGATTGCAGCCATCCCACAAGAACGTAACGAGGTGGTCTGCGCCCACCATAGCTCTTGGTTTCGGGTGAGGTGTGCGGGGACGCGACTGCGGGTGCCAAAGGTGGCGTGTGTGTCACGCTGGACACTTTTGGGCCTTCTGCATCCACACAGGCACAGAAGCGCTTTGGAGTTCTGCTCACAGCCCAGGAAGGGCAGAGAAGTGCGGGCGGGCATTGGGGGGGAGACGAGCGTTGTGGGCCAGAGCGGGGACCCTCCCGGCTGCGGCTGCTGAGGGGTTTTTGTCTCCGACCGACCCTCGTGCTTCCGTTCAAGCTGAGGGTTAGATGGCTGGGCCATGGGCTTCGTGGCCACGCCGTGCGGGAGTCTCCCGGGGAGGCGGGAGCGCTGCCCGCGGCTGTTGACTCACCCGGCCGAGACACATGGGGCTCTTGCGCCCCTTCCTGGCGGCGATCCCATCGGGTGGGGGCAGTTCCGCAGCCTTGCATCTCTGCCTCCGCTTCCTGGGGATTAGCCTGCGCTCTTTCCCTTTGGAGAAGCGACCGGCCAGGCTGGGGCTGTGTTGGCTTCCAGAAATTCTGCAGCCTTGGCACCCGGAGGTGTGAAATAGTTTACCCTCTCCGTGTGGGGTTAGAGGAATGTTTGGGCCTTTTTTACAGCGAGAGGGATGAAGGGCAGGGAGAAGGTGGGCCACCAGCAGCGTGTGTGGGGCAGAGATAAGGGGACGCTGATTGCGTCCCCTCTCACCCCTTGCTTAGTTTCCCCAGAGTTTCCGCGAATACTTGTGGAAAAATGCGAGCAGCCATCCCATTTGTCCTCACAAGGATCGCTAAAGGCAGCTCTGGCCGCGAGGACGAGTGGCTTGTGGTCCCCCGGCCAGCCCCACGGCTTCGCACCTTGCTCTTTATCTGAGTGGCAGCGGCTGGAAGGGCCTCCGCCGCCGTCCTGTGCCAGAGCTTGGCCCGAAAGGGAACGGAAAGGAAGCTGGGACTCTGAAGAGTTCGGGCAAAGGCCGCTCTCGCTTTCGGAGCCTCCGGAGCCGCAGGGCAGCACACCGGGCCTCGGCAGAGCACTTCTGCCGCAGTGCTGGACATCGCGCTTCACGGGGGGGGGGGGGGACACGTTCCAGCTCAGGGGGCTTTTCCCAGGTCAGCAGGGTCCCCGCACCTCCCTCTAGAAGTCCAGCGCCGCTCAGAGAGAGGGCCAGGCCCGTGGCGCGGTACGCGGCTGCCGCACTCCAAAAAGGGTGTCCGGTGCTGCGCCCGCTCCGGTGGAGAGCCAGACGCTCGCCCGTCCCGCCTCCCCCCTGCTGCTCATGCGGCCTCAGAAGCCCACCACGAGAAGTGACCCCCCAGCCCCTGCTGCACTGTCCCCCCGAAAGAGGCGGGGGCTCAGTGTCAGAGGGGTGGCGGCGACTGTCTGGGCACCGACGGTCGGCCAGAACCTCCTTTTTGCGCGCCCGCCGGTCACCCCTGCCTTGGCGGGCCCTTGGCGCTTGGCAGGGGGGCAAGGCCGAGCAGACGTGTCTGGGGCAAGCGAGGCCAGTGCCTCCTGCTGACCGCTGGCCTTCAGCCCACAGAGGCCCCCAGCTGCCTGGGCGAACAAGCCCCCCTCCCCGTTTGTTTGAGGTCCTGAGCCCTCCCCTCAGCAGCCTGCCCGTCGGCCATTCCACACACCCGGCCTAGCTCAGCCGCCCCCAAGCTGGTGGCTGCGGATGTGCTGGACGGCCGCTCACGTACTTCCCAGCCCTCCCCTCCTGCCTGTAGGCTGGTCTGAGGCATCCCGCTGTCCCCCGCGCTGGAAACGGGACGCTGGGCTGGATGGGCCTGCGGTGGCCTGGGCAGCAGCCGGGCTGTCTCACGCCTGTTCTGGCATTCTTACGGAGCAAAGGGCGTCCCTATTTGGGGGCCTCAGTCGTGATCCACTGAGTCTGTGCCCCCCACGTAAGACTCTGAGCTCACCCCAAATCCTTTGTGCCACCAGCTGAGCAAGGCAATGGCTACTTTCTTTCCCGAACAGAATGTCCAGCAAGATGAGGCAGGGGCTGGGCAGGGCCCTTTCATGACCCCATTCGGGGCTGGTTCGCCTGCAGAGGGGAGTGCTTCCTGCTGCCCCCGCCCGGCATGCCCGTTTGGCGCCCTCCTTCCCATCATCCAGAGCTCCCAGCACGGCGTGGCCCCGTCTGTGCCCCTGCACCCGCCTGCCGCAGAGCCCAGCTGCCCCGATGCTCCTCTGGCTGGGCCCGCTGTGCAGGAAGCCAAGCGAGGGGAGGGGAGGGGAGGGGAGGGGAGGGGAGGGGAGGGGAGGGGAGGTTCTGCCAGAACAGAAATGCCCCGGAGCGAAGCGGCAGCCCCCTTGATAGTGGACGCTTGGATGGGGGGCGGTCCGGGCAGGGGGCCACCGGCTCCCTCCCTGCCCACGCTCCCTGCTCTGCACCCTGTCGCAGGACCGCCCCCACGCCCCGGAGGCTTCCGCCTGCACTTCTCTCCCCACCCCCAGGGCCAGAGATGTGGACACCCCCCCGCCCGTTCTGGCTGGGGCTGGGCGTGCCTGGGGGGCGCTTGCCTTCCACCTGAGGGGCTGGACTGAGCTCTTCTCGGTGCCCCACGCCGAGGACGTTCGGAGTGGCCTGGCACGGGGCCAGCAGGAACCGAGCCCCCTTCTCGCCCCCCTCGGCACCCTCTTCGCTTGGCCCAGAAAGCCGCCCCGAGGCTTCGGCGAATGGGGCAGCATAGAAACTTTCTAAATAAATAAATAAATAAATAAAATAAAAGGCGCTCCGGGACCGCGGGCGACATGGCCAAGCCGCCTGCTGGGGGGGCCTCTGGCCAGGGACCCCGGTCCCTCCCCACTGCTTCCAAGTTGGGCACCCCGCTCGTTCATCCCTGGCTTCTCGAACCTGGCCCTCCCAGACGTGTTGGGAATACAGCGCCCGTGTTGGCTGGGGAGGACGGGGAATCGTCCCAGTGCAACTGGGGGAGCCGCGCTGAGGAATTCTGCCTCAGGCACTCGCAGCTGGAGCAGCACATGATGCGCGATTGAGCAATGCTGAATCGGAGCTACTTGAAAATGCCACACAGACCCGTTTTGCAGCCTCTAGAACGTCAGAAATGCTCCAGAAAGCGTGTTGCGAGTTGCCTGTGCGGGTGGCCGTGTGGGGGTGCCCTCCCGGGTCCCAGAGCAGCCAACTTGGGCCAGAATTGGACCGGGAGGGGAGTATCCCCCTGGGCCGAAGGACCCGACAAGGCTTCGTAATGTGCAGCGGGGGTGTCGCCACGTTGGAATAGATCGATTCAAGAAAACAAAATGAAAAACCCTACGCTGGTGCATCTGACGCGGCGTGTGGTGTGGTGGTGAAGAGCGTGGGACTGGGACTCAGGCGATCCGGGTTCAGCCATGGAGCCAGCTGGGTGACTTTGGGCCACTCAAAGACTCTCAGCCCAGCCTACCTCACAGGGTTGTTGTGGTGGGGATGAGATGGAGGAGGAGAATGAGGTAAGCTGCCTTGAGCCCTTTGCAGGAAACAGGCAGGATACAACTCGGGCAGCAGAAGGGCCCCGAGTGTGGAATTGAGGACCCAGGCAAAAGGCAGAGTTGCCCCCCCCCCCCGCCGCATTTTGAGATGTTTCTGGGAATACACCAGGCATTGCGTAGCTCCTCTTCCCATTCATTTTCACAAAGGTAACAGGATCCCGATAGCTCAGTGAGTGAACTAGGGAGGTGGGGCAAGATGGGTGGACACTTGCAGGGACAACCTGCACCAGTATCTGGTGCCTGCTCACCCATCGCCCCCAAGGGAAATTCCTCTCCCAACCGGGAGAGTTTCGGGGCCACCACAGAAAAGGCTCTGCCTCTCGCACACACCCGGCGTATCTCGATCGTCAGCCAGGCCAGGGCTTGGCCGGCTCCGTGAAGGAGAGCGTGGCCCTTGGCCTGGCGCCGGGGCTGCTGGGCTTCTTAGTCCGTCGAGAGGCTGCAGGCCGCGGGCTCCCAGTGGCAGGGTGCAGCAGGAAGGCCGGGAGGGCGCCTCCTCGAGTCGCAGGCTGCGCCCTCTGGGCAGATCGGGAAGATCCGGCTGCTGCTGTCTGTGGGTGCCGACGGCCAGGAGGAGGGGCCCGGAGGGTGGGGGGACGCCATCCCAAGGGGAGGGAGAAAGGTGGCCTTCCAAGATCTGCCACATAGCGGGGGGAGGGACTGCACTTCATTTTGGGGAGAAAGGTGTGCATGCCCTGCAGCCGAGGTTCTCCGTAACGCCAGACCCGCGGGGGAACGAGCCTCCCCGGCTCAGAGGCCCTGCTTTCCCCGGCCGTCTTGCGCCTTTGGGCCTCGGCTGGGGCACTCGGAACCGCTCTGGAGAGGCCGCACTCCGGCACGGGCGGCCCAGAGACGGTGAAGGCGCCGGACTGCCGGGGCTCCTGCGGGGCTCCGCTCGTCCCTCTGGCGCTGCTTGGGCTGCCCGTGCAAGCAGCCTCCAGACGGAGAGTTCCCGGGGGCCGGCCTGAGCCGAAGCCTTCCAGGGCTTGCGAGGCACCGAGCCACGAATGTGGGGGGCGCAGACAGCAGCTGGAGCCTCCCTGGGGGGCAGCACTCTACCGCTGTGTCATTGCAAGGACTCGCTGCAGTCTCGCGGACGAGGCTGCTTGTCCTAACGCCGCCCGCGCCCTGGCCTGCTTCCCCCACAGTCAGTCTGGCTGTGCTGACGCAGATTTAAATGCGAACCTGCCCGGTTCCCGCAGCTCAGCCGGGCGTGTGCTCCTGCCAAGAACAGGTTCTCCCTCTGGATGGGCCTGGGAAGCGCAGCCCTGTGGTGGAAGGGCTCTGTGCCGCGGCGCTCGTTTTCCTCGCCGTGTGGCGTCCTCCCTGCCACACATGGGGGGCACCGCAGGCGGGGGCGTTTTGCACCCCTGTGCCTAAGGGAGAGGTGCCTCTGAGCATAGGCAGAATGCCTTCCTTGACACAGGGTGGCCACGGTGCACTTAAGACGTAGCCAAATGTCGGAATGGCTCGCCTGGCTTCATGAGGCACGGGAGCAAAACGGGTGCCGGGGCCAGCGGTGGGGCCCCGGGCGAGGCCCGCTGAGCCAGCTCCCCTCTGCAGGGCCCTCGGCTCTCGCTGGCGTCGGCCGTCCTTCCGGGGAAACCGTCTGGCCCTGTTCTCTTTGCACAGGACGACGGCTTGATCCTCGTCCCGGGACAGGGCTGGGCCGGGCTGGGCTGGGCGGAGGATGACATCGGCGCTCTGGCAGCGCAGAAACTTGTCGTGTCTTGCACCCCAAATCTCCGGTTTCTCTGCGAGGGCAAATTGCATCAGGCAAGCAAATGCGACCGGAGGCACCACCCTCCGCCAGTTTCGACAGAGCAAGGCCCACGGCTGCGGGGTGGCTGGCCGGGCGCTGGCAGCCCCATGCAGAGCGCCCCCGAACGGCCCCCCCGGGCAGCTCTGCTCAGCTCTTGCACGCGTGAGGCTGCGGCCCCCTTGGGGGAATCGCTCCGTCCCATGGCTGGGCCGCCTCTGCCTCCGCCTGTCCCTGGCCTGGCTGTCCTCTCGCGATGTGTCCGAACTGTCGCAGCCTCGGTGTGGCCATGCTTGCTTCTGGGGAAGGCTCTGCCATGACTCGATCTGCACCCGCCTGCTTGCCTTCCTGTCGTCCCGCATATTCACAGAGCTCCCTCCAGCACTGTCCTTCAAACGCACCTGTTGTCCTCCTGCCCGTTTTCTCCGAGCACAGCGTTCACGGCCGTGCATCACACCTGGGAACAGAACAGCACTGGCGAGTTGGCCTTGGTCTGCAGCAAAGGGCCCTGAGCTAGGTCCTTCCCTTGACCGATCCTTTTCCAGCCTAGTTATGGAGGCAGCCATACCCCAAACTCGCTAAATTTTGGAAGATCTGCCGAGATTCTCGCCCACTTTTGGGCTGCATGGCCTTCCCAGCCGGCCTGGCGTCCGATTGGAGGTGGCACCAGGCGGGCTCAGAGCCCTCTGGCTTCTCTAGGCAAAGCCCACAAAGTTCCGGGAGTTCCAGCCAGGCTGCGAAGCAGGTGCTGTGGGTCTTGGCCTGGGGACAAAAGCGGGCGAGCAGCGTGGGAGAGATGCAGCAGCAGCTGGGTCTGGAGCCAGAGCCGGTCTGTTCGCTCTGCCGCCCAGCCGGGCACCGGGCGGAGGAGGAGAGCGCGCCGGACGGCCTGCGGGGAGGATGCCCAGGGCCCCAGCCCCCCGCTCCCTGCCCTTCCAGCGGCAGCTGCGTCCAGTTCTCCCGGACCGTGTGCCCCTCCGTGGCCCCCCTGGCTTGTGCCCAGGCCCCAGAGATGGTTCCCGGGGCTTTTCTCTGGTTCCTCTCGGAAGGGAGCCTGCTGGAGTCCAGCTCGGATGGACTGACGGGCGAGCTGGCTTCTCCGCTGCAGCGCAGCCCCCCGGGGAGTGGGCCGGCGGGGCCGAGCCCGCTTGGGTGGCACTACAGGGGGAGGCTGGTGAGGAAGACGCTTGTGCAGATGCCAGCGGTGGCGCTGTTCCCTCCTCCTAGGTCCCCACGGCCCTCGGGGTGCCGGTGCCCGGCTGCGCAGGAGCGCCCGCTGCGTGCCAGCGCCATGGCGGGCGAGGACCGCAGCCACGTTCAGGACCTGCTGAGCCTCTCCTTCCAGTGTGAGTTGCGGCAGCGCGAGCGAGCCCCGCCGCAGAGCCCTGGCACGGGGCGGGGTGGGAGGGACGCCCTGGCCGGCCGGGCGGAGGCGGCAGCGGGTCTCCGGGAGGCGAGGCGGGGCGCTCCTGTGGGCTGGAGAAGCCCGCAGGGTCCCTCCCCACAGGGCCCCCGCAGGTGGGTGGCCAGCCCCGGCCCCGGCCCCCGCCTCGCCTCGCAGGAGGCAAATACCTGCAGGGACGCTCACTCCAGCCGGAGGGGGTTGAGGTTGACGCCCCCAGGCTGCGGCCTCCGGTGTGGGGCCCTGGAGCCCCCTCCCTGCCAAGCTCTGACCTCTGCAGGATGCCGCTCGCTCGGGGCCTCTCTCCCCCCAGCCATCCTCACGCGGCTCTGGGCCAGAGAGGAGGGACAAAATGCCTGGGGAGCATGTGAGGACGGAGGGCGGGAGGCGGGCAGGGCTGCACCGGCCTTTGTTCCGTCACGGGCTTGGCAGCAGCAGGGACACCGGATCTCCTCCGGGCAGGCGGCGGGGGGGCCCTGCGCTCCGGCGGGGGGAGCAGCGGCCGGCTGCCTTCGAGCACCTGGGGAGGGCGGCTGGCAGGCAGGGACCACAGGACTACGAGAGGAGAGGAGGGGTCCGTGCTGTAGGACGCCCTCACGTGGGGGCAGCGCTGGCTCCCTGCCGCCTCCCTTGGCCTCCCCTTGGGGACCGGACAGGCGCTCAAGAGCCCGGGCCTGCCTGGCGTTCCTGCCCGTCACGTGGCCGGGGCCTTTTGTGTGCCTGGTTAGCTGAGCCTGCGGGGGGGGGGGGGTTGCGTAACAGCCCCGTGGCGAACGTGTGGGGCGAGACGGAGGGCCGGGCGCACTCCGGGGGCCCGCGTCTTGTGGGCAGGCGCCAGGACGGGCACGATCCCCCCCCGTGCGGAGGGGCCTCTGGTCCCCAGGGGAGCGCAGGGCTTCAGAGAGGAGCCACTCCTTGCAGGCGGGCAGAAGACCGTGTGCTGCCCGCCTGGGTCTCGTGTCCGGCGGCTCCGAGCCACCTCTGCCCACAGAAGAGATGGGAAAGAAACGGGCTTTTGAGTGGGGCGCCAGGTACAACCCTGCTGGGTGACAGGCCGCCTGCCCACCTCCTCCGCCCTCCGACGTGAGCTCCTCCGCCGGCCCCTTGATTCACGGCGCAGGAAAAGCGGGACTCGGTGGCCAGTGGCTCGGGGCGCTGCGAGGGGGCCCGCGATGGCCGCTCTGGGCGCTGCGCCCGGGGAGCCTCGCCGGGCACCTCGCTGCATCTCCCCCTCTCCCTCCCGCCCGCAGCCCTGGCGTCGAGACACATGGACCTCAAGCAGATGGAGCTGGACACGGCCGCCGCCAAGGTGGACGAGCTGTCAAAGCAGCTGGAGTCGCTGTGGACGGCCAGCCCAGGGCCAGCGGCCGGGCAGCCGAAGGTGCGTGATCGCCTCTGGGGTGGCTCCCGCTTCGCCGGCAGCCGCTGGGGGGCTGAGCTGCAGCCAGCCGGCAGCGGCCCCGGCAGGGTTCTCCCCACAGCGTCCAGCGCCAGCCAGGGCCCCTCCGGCAGAGGAAGGAGGCAGCCCGCCCGTGGAGCCTCCTCCATGGAGGGGGGCAGTGGCTGGCTGGGGATGATGAGAACTGCAATCCCAGCAGGGCAGTCCTGTCACTAGTCCTGTGGACCTGCCAATAGACAACGGCATAGAATAAGATGCAGTTTCAGGCGGCTTGTTTGGAGAGACAAATGCTCACAATTCAGGAAAGGCCTGACTGCACGGGCTCCCCGGGCCCCAGACCCCGGTGCCGGGGCGGGGGGGTGAAGCGGGCCAGGCCTTTTCCTTCACCGACGGGACTTCTGGGAAGCGGGGGGGCTGGGGCTCGGGCTCCCGACGTGGGGCAGCGCATTGCATGAAGCCTCCTCCATCTCTGGCAGGGCATGGACCAGCGCAGCGCCAGCCCGGCCCGGGAGCTGCTGGCCGGGATGAGCCCCTCCGCCGGCTCTCCGCTGCACCAGCCTCCGTGGAAGGGCAGCTCCTGGGAGGCTGCGGACAGCGGCTACGGCGCCTCCTCGCTCGGCGACGGCTCGCCCCTGCAGCTCCTCCCGGGCACGGCCCCAGCGGGCCGCCCCACCTCGCCGCGGCCGTCCTTCTTCCTGCAGCCCGAGCTGGAGCGGCCCCCGGCCCCGGCCACCCGGCCCAAGGTGCTGCCCATGCCCTACGAGCCGCAGCCCAGCCCCACGGTCTCCCCCCGCTCCCTGCGGCCCCCCAGCACCGGCGAGCGCCCCTACGAGTACGTGTCCTATGCCGCCCCGGCGGGGCGGGCCGGTTCTCCGCGGCTGTCCATGGAGGGCCCCGGGCTGCAGGCCTTCTTCCCAGAGCGCGGGCCATCCCCGCGGCCGCCTCTGCCCCCGCCGTACGAGGCCCACAGCCTGTACCCCTCGGCGCCCAGCTCCTTCGCACCCTTCTGGACCCAAGGTAAGGGCTGGGGGGCCGGGCGGGGCGCTTGGGGCTACGGACGCGTGAAAGGGGCGCTTGACCTCACGGCCGCCTCTGCGGCGTCTGAGGGCTGCGCGCGCGGAGGCTTCTGCCCCGTGACGCCCGTCCATCCCCCGCGGGACTGAGGCGAGCTTAGCGGGTTGCGGTCGAGCGGCGGGAGGGCCTTGGGCCGGGACGCCGGCCCCTGCGGCATTCCTGAGCGGGGCCGGGGGTCCGGCTCTGGTGGGCTGTGCTGCCCACCGCGCTCAGGGTGCCCCCAGCAGCTGGCGCCTTCGGCCGGTTGCCTCCGCCACGATGCCCAGGCCGGGCACTCCAAGCGCTTTTCCTTCTGTAGATGATCTGGTGATTCGGAGAAGGGCGCAGAAAGGGTGGAATGAATCCGACCTGGACGTGGCCTACGAGAAGAAGCCCCGCCACCCCGCCAGCTACGAGCGTGAGTGTCGCTGGGCGCGGGTGGCAGCGGGCGCTCCAGGAAGGGGAGGGCGGGGGCAGCCCAGCCCGCCTGGGTCCGGGCCCGTGTTTCCTCGGGCCTGCCGGTCAGAGCTCTCCGGTGGGCAGGGGCGAGAGGAAGGGCCTTTCCTGCAGTGGCCCCGTCTTGGCGAACTGCGAGTCGGAGGCTGCAGCCGGCACGCCCGTCTCCAGCCGGGTGCCTCTTCCCGCAGGAGGAGACACTCATGGGGGCCAGCGCCAGAACACGGCGGGGCTGCCGTTGGCTCCGTGGAGGGAATCGAGCCTGGACGGGACCCTCGGACAAGGCAAGGTACGGCTGGACATCCCTCGGACGGCCCCCCTTCCTCTTCCGGGGGAAAGGATCAGGAGGGCCCCGTGGGAATCCCCAGGGAAAAGCTAGAGGGAAATGCTGAGCAAGAGCAGCGCTCGATGTGAGTGCGGGAAAGAACTGTGGGCGTGACGGGTTCGTGTCCTGCTGCGCCACAGTCGCTCCGTGGACGAGCCCGGTCCTGCCTGCAGGCTTGAGCAGCACGTGAGCACAGGGGGCTGGGGGGGAAGAGGCACATCCACGGAGAATCTCACCGCCTGCCCCGTCTCTTGCAGGAGGAGCCCTTCGGCGTGCAGAGCGCCACCCTGCCCCGGAATTACAAGGTCTCCGGGCTGGCCCACGAGCGGCGCAGCGAGAGCTCCTTCCGCCGGGCCTTCCCCGCCAACCAGACGGGCACGCTGCCCCGGAACTGGCAGCCCGTCTCCCGCATCCCCATGCCGCCCCAGGGCCCCCCGGCCAGCCTGCCCAAGCGCCACAAGCCCCTGCCCCTCTCGATGATCTTCCGGCTGCAGAATGCGTTCTGGGAGTTCGGCGCATCCGGCAACAAATTCCCGCTCTCCCAGGGGCCGCCGGGGTCCCCGCTCTTCCTCCGCTCCCTGCAGAAGCAGGTGCTCCAGCAGCCCCCGCAGTATGTCAGGATGAGCCCTCCGGGGAGCGAAGGTAAGTGGCGAGAGGGGGCGGCCGTGGGGCAGCGAGTGGCCGTGGCGGGGGGCGGGGGCTCCGCTTCTGGCCTGTCTCCAAAGGAAAGCTGGAGTAACGCGGGACTCTTCGCTGGCCCGTATTTTCAAAGTAGGAAAGTGAGGAGGGACAGGCCTGTGCATTTCCCCGCTAGGACTGGGGTGTCTGATGAGGCGGACGCTTGATTTGGTGAAACTCTAGCTGCCACGTCTGGTTTTCCCGTGCACGAACCCTTCCTCCCACAGGAACACCTCAGAGACTGGGAGCGCATGAGCGTTCACGTTGGAAGCACGTGCACACGAGCGTAACATTTTGCACGCACGGGACTGAGACATAGCAGGCAGCCAGAGCAGCGTGTGTGAGCGTGACCCCCTTTACCAGCACCTCTCCGTCACCTCAGAGGCCTGGGCAGATCAGACTGATGTTAAAATTGGTCTGTTTTTCAATGTTTCCCTCCCTTAGCTATCTCAGTAAAACGTCTCTCGGGAAAGTGGTCGTCTTGCCTTTCCATTTAACTTTAGACCTATGAATCAAGTAATCTCTGTGCTTGTGTGGGTCAAGAAGGGGGCTTTTGCCCATGCGCAGAGTTCCATTCTGCCTCCACCATCAGCGTACCCAGTCTCAGACCAGCAAAGGAGGGTTCGGCGTCCAAAGCGGGTGCGACGCAGCGACATGGGGGTCCCGGCACCGACCCACTCTTCTCTCTGCCTCGCACTCCAGGAAGCGGCATCTCCAGAGCTGCGGCTGCCCCGGCAGAACCGACCCGCGTGGTCCCGATCGTCCTGACTGCGGGAGAGACGGAGCCCGAACTGGAGAGCCTCCTGCCGGGCGGGGAGCCGGCCGAGGTGGACGAGCTGGCGCGGCCCCTGAGCCCAACCCGGCTGCAGCCCGTCCTGCCGCCCGAGGCCCAGAAAGTGCCCGAGTTCGAGGAGGTGGCCCGCGTCCTGGCGGAGATGCCCCGGCCACTGAAGCGCCGCGGCTCCATGGAGCAGAGCCCCGGCCCGGCGCTGCCGCCCACCCACAAGAAGCAGTACCAGCAGCTCATCAGCCGGCTCTTCCACCACCAGCCCCGCAAGGAGGAGGCTGCCCCGGCCGGGGACGCCCCCGCGCAGCCCGACCCCACGCCCGGCGGCGAGGCCACGGAGCATAAGGCCGCTGGGGCCACGGGGCCGCCCTCGGCCCCGGCCGCGCCAGCATCACCCCTTCCGCCGGCCCCAGAGAGCCCCGCGGCCCTCACACCCTTGCCCAGCCCGGTAAGTCTGCCGAGCAGCTGAGCGGCCACCTCCGGCCCGCAGACCCGCTCCCCGGGAGCCTGCGGCCCCCTCGCTGGTCGGCTGGCGTGCAGCACACCGGTGGCCCACCCGCCCTGAGCAGCCGTGGCCGGAGGCCCGAGGGTGCGTGCTCATGGGCAGGCTGGCCCCGGCAGCCGCTTCACCGCTCCCGGCCCTGCAGGCAGGTCTCGGGGGGCTCGGCCTTGTTCTGGGGCACGGGGCAGGGCGTCTTCCGGGCACTCCCCCCGCAACGGCCCTCCTGTCCCCCCCGCCTGCAGGAGAAGCGCTCGGTGCTGCGCGTGGCCTCCTCCCCGCGGAAGCGGCCGCCCAGGAAGGCCCGCCTCAACCCCCTGGTCCTGCTGCTGGACGCAGCCCTGACAGGCGAGCTGGACGTGGTGAAGGAGGCCGTGAAGGAGGTGAGTGGGGGGCCGGGCCGCCGGCGAGGCTCTGGCTGCGAAGGGGGCCGGGGCGGCCCCGGCCCAGCTGAAGGCGGCCGCTTCCTCTTGCCCTTCGCTGCTCTGCGGGCCGCCTTTCAAAGAGCCACAGGAGCCCGCGGCGTCACGGCAAGTGCGCAGGAAAGGGGCCCTTGCCACGAATCGGGCCCCTGGAGCTTGGTGTGTGCACAGGCCCTGAGCCTCCCGGCCCCTGCCGGCCTGTGTGGGCGAGAGAGGGAGGGCAGGAGAGGCGGGGAGAGGGGACCGGTCCTTCAGGGGCTCACCTGGGCCCTCAGATCTGGAGTGGGTGCACCCAGCCCCCGCCTGAGGGCCTGGCCCCCCGCCCCCCCCCCCCAAGCTGCCAGCAGCGCCTTTTCCCTCCGTTGCCGGAGCCCGCTGAGCGACGATGATTCCCGGGCCGTGAGGGCAGCCGCCGAGGGCCAGCCGCGCACCCTCTGCCCGTGCTGGCCGGCTGGCTTCGCGGGGGCAGGCGGGGGGCTGTGGCCCCTGGGCCACGCCGGGCCTGCTGGCCACGGGTGCGTGCCACTGGCCTGCCTTTCCACCGCAGCTGAACGACCCGAGCCAGCCCAATGACGAGGGCATCACCGCTCTGCACAACGCCATCTGCGGCGCCAACTACCCCATTGTGGACTTCCTCGTCAGCATCGGGGCCAACGTCAACTCCCCCGACAGCCACGGATGGTGAGTCCACGAGTCCGTGAGCGGGGGGGCGGCCCCCCCAGACCCCCCGGCCCCCCCCGGCCCGTCCTCCGTGGGGGCCGGGTACTTCCCGCCCCTCGAGGGCCCTCTTTGCGGGCTTCAGGAGAGGCCTGCTGGAAGGGCTGCAGGTTTCGGGGGAGACGTGTGACGTCCTTCGGAGATCACCCGGGCGCCTACAAATAGATGCGCGGAGATCGCATTCCAGAATGTGATTCACGCAAGGCGGGTGTGTCTGAGGCCGTTCTGGAAAGGGATCCATCCCGAGCTCCGTCGCGAGCGCTCAGTCCGAAGGGGGAACTCGGCCGAGCGTGGAGCCAACTTGCCGGGGCCCCGCCAGCACCGTCCTTTCCTTCCGGGCGTGTGACGCGCAGGCAGGCGGTGTGCAGGCCGGGCCACGGTGCACCTGCCAGGCCGCCTCCCCGCCACCAGCCGCATCGGCCCGGCGTCGCGCCTGCACCGGCGTGGGTCCGCGGGCACATGGTCCGCACGGAGGGACGGAGCCGTTCCCACGCGTGCCGTACCTCCCGACCGCGCTTCCTGGGCAGTGCCCGCAGGCCCCCCCACACTCACGGGGCGTGCCTTCTCCCCCCAGGACGCCCCTGCACTGCGCCGCCTCCTGCAACGACACGGCCATCTGCGTCGCCCTGGTCAAGCACGGGGCGGCCATCTTCGCCACCACCTTCAGCGACGGCAGCACGGCCATCGAGAAGTGCGACCCGTACCGCGAGGGCTACAGCGACTGCTTCAACTACCTGGCGGGTGAGCGGAGGCGGGAGGCCCCTGGCAGCCATGCGTGGGGGGGGGGCGCGGGCGGGCGGGCAGCTGGGGGCCCCTGGGCGCGCCCCTCCCCCCCGTGCCGCCCAGAGGGCCTCCCGGGGAAGGGCAGGCTGCGAGCGGGGGACTGGGCCGCCCGGGGGCCACGGGCCCTGCTCCCTGCGCCTGACGCGCCTCCGTGCCCCCTGCAGATGTGGAGGGCAGCATGGGGCTGGTCAACAGCGGGGTGGTGTACGCCCTGTGGGGCTACAGCGCCGAGCTCAGCGACGAGCTGTCCTTCCGCGAGGGCGAGCCGGTCACGGTGCTGCGCCGCGATGGCCCCGAGGAGCTGGACTGGTGGTGGGCCTCCCTCTACGGCCAGGAGGGCTACGTGCCCAAGAACTACTTCGGGGTGAGTGCGTGGCGCCCCCGGGGGGGGGGCTGGGCGCTTCGCCCGCAAGGGCTCCCAACGCGCGGGGCGGACGCTCCCGAGGGGGCTGCAGCCCGGAGGGGGTCGTGCCGAGGGACGGGCCGCGGGGTCCCCCCCGCTGGGCCTCCTCCCCGGCTAAAGGCGGCACTTGGCCGGCTGTGCTCTCCTCCGCAGCTCTTCCCCAGGGTGAGGCCCCAGCAGAGGAAGGCGTGACGTCTCCGAGGCGGCGCTGCCTCCGGCCGGCCGTTCCAGCAGGAGCCTGACCCGAGGAGCGTCTGGCCGGGCGACGGCGCGCCGGGCCGCTTGCTGCCGGTGGAGCTGGCACCCACGGGGGTTGCGTGATGATGCCGGAAGGGGGAGCGCTGCACGGGGGCCTCCCCCGCTCGGCGGCTGCTGGCCTGGCTGGGGGCAGAGGGCCACGGGCAGAGAGCTGCACCGCACCCCTGCGTGGCCGGGCTCTCCCCCCGCTTCCACACGGGCCCTCCCAACGTCCGCTGGCGCTGGTATTCCCGTGCTCTTACCCCTTCCGACGGAAGCAGGGGCAGCTGCCCCATCAGCCTCGCCACCTCTGTCTCATGCTGCCCACAACGCAGAGGGGCTGCCTCTGCCCGCAGCCCCCCTCCCCCGGGAGCTCATTTCGGGACAGGGGCTGCCCAGGCACATGCTGCAGCCACTTCTCCCTCGCTGAGCCGCCCCGGCTTCCTTGCCCGCCCGGTGCGAGTCCAGAACACACGTCTCCACGTCTCCTCTTGGGAGCTCAGCGCCAAAACGGGGGCCACACTGGGTGGCTGGCGGGACCTGTAGAAGCCGCCTCTTTCTCCTGCATAGAAATGGACTGGCCCACAGTGGGATTGGGTGGCAGAACCTGGCAGGAGCCCCCTCCCCAGCTGGGGGGGGGCTGCGCAGGGAGGCGCTGCAGCCCGGCGAGTTCCTTGCACGTGGCCTCTCCCTGGCCTGATCAAGCACTGCCTGCACAGGGACCGAGCTTCTGAGGCACGGGACGACGGCCATGACGCTCGGCTGCAGCCCCCAGAGGCCGGTGGGGAGGCTGCTGAGCTGCACCGACTCCTCGCCTAGCAGGCTCCAGCCTAACAGAGCGGGGGTGAGGCCTGGGGTGGGCTTGGAGAGTTCGGCACAGATACGAAACCAGTTCCTGTCTGCCGTGTAAGGGTCTGCGCACAGGGAGGCGGCCGCTCCTCCACTTGGCAGCGGGGTGGCAGCAGGGGCTTCTTAGCTTAGACTATTCCCGCGGGTGTATCAGTAACCGGCTGAAAAACTGGAGAGAGAGCCATTAAAAGTGGTACTGTCTGGAGGAACGTCTTTGTGGTTTTTGTAGCCTCTGGGCTGAGCAGGACTCGAGTCCCCTTGCTGAAGCCCGGAAGTACCTGGCTGGGTGAAGAAGCGGGGGCTTCCCAGCCCCCAGCCTCCTTAGCGCTGTTCTTTTGAGCCAATAGAAGCGTTTAACAGCTGCATATTAAAAAATAAAGACGCTGCACCTGCCAAATGCCTGTCTCGTGGTCAGCTCAGCCACCATCCGCTGCACTGCAGCAAGGGGGCCGCCCAGCGCTGGCTTTTGCTCACGGCCCACGCTTTGCTCTTTGCTCGTGCTGCAACGGGTGCCTTTTCTAGGCTGTCCCTTCATCTGGGCCTGGTTGGGGCCTCCCTCTTCAGCCACTTCCACAGAGGGGAGGGGATGTGGTCCAGGGCTGGGATCAACTCAGGTGGAGCTCTCCACGGGGAGAACTTCTGAGTGGACATGGAAGGGATGGTCTGAGGCCCAGCTTGAATTCCCCCGTGGCTGCGTGTGGCGGAGCTGGGGCTGCATCGCCCCTGATTTGGACTGCGTGAGGGCAAAGAGCTTTGGTCTTCCGCAATTCGGACGGGGGGCCACTCCTCTCTGGTTTGGCCCTGCAGGAGAGCCCTGTGGGTCAGCTGTGCTAAGAGCCTGGGGTTTTGTATGTTTGTATGGGCGAGCTGGTGCACTCCAGATGTCTGGGGCTGAAGCTGGCGCTGTCAGGGGCCACAGAGTCCAACCAGGATCTGAGGCAAACTCCTCTCTCCGCTCAAAGAGCTGGAGCTGGTTCAGCCTCCTCCAAGATGGCGTCCCTGTGCACACTCTCGGAGCCCTAGAACCACCACATCGCAATTTAAACATGAAGCACCATCATGACTGGCCACTTGCCTAGTCGCCTTTGTGGCAAGTTAGAGTATGGCATCTAGGCAAGAAGGACATTTTGTAACGTGGAAAACAGCCGATTCTTCCTTCAGGCAGACTATTCAAATGCTTGAGGACTAGCAACTTTAGTTCCTCTATTTGAATGCCCGAGCAATGCCTAGGTTTTCCTTTGCCCCCGCCGCAAGATAACCCCGCACTGCAAATGCCAGAACGCCCAAAAGCACGAGAAAGCGAGGCAGGGGCCACCCCCGCGGTCCGCCCAGTCCACGCTTGCCGACGGCTCGATTAACCTGCCCGACTGGCTGCGTGCGATTCGCTCTTGAGCGATTTGTGATGGCTGCGCGCAGTGCAACCAAGCTCGTTCCTTGTGGCCAATGAAATTATTGCTTGATTGGCGCGCCCCAGTCTGCTTTCCCTTCCCAGTTATCCAATGAGGAAACGGCTTGGCGAGTCGTTCTGGCCAATGCGACACGAGCGCGACAAGAAGGGTTTCTGCTGCGGGAGGACCGGAGTGAGAACTGCTGCTTCGCGTGGCTGCAGCGGCCAATAAGCGTGGCGTGGAAGAGACCATGAAGTGAGGAGGGGCGGGGGAGGCGCCCCCGGGGAATACCATGAGGGCAGCGCGGCGGGGCTCGAGCGAGGGGCGCTGCCTGGCCAGGACTCGTGCACCCACCGCCGGGGCCAGCGGTGCTTCCTCGCAGGAAGGCGCCCGGGCTTCGGGACTGGGCCAGGGCAGGCGGCTGATTTGGACTACAGTGCCCATGATCCCCGACTGCTGACCGCGCAGGCAGGGGCTTCCGAGGCTGTCGCCCCAAGCGACTGGGGGCTGCCAGCCTGCCCCTGGCCTCGAGCGGTGTGGGAATGCAACCCCCCTCATCCCCGTGCTGGCTGCGGCTGCTGGGAGCCCGTGTCATGCGCTGATAGGGGTTTTGGACTGGAAGGCCGGGATCGAGTCCCCGCTCGACTATGACGCTCACGGGTGGCTTTGGGCCATTCAGTTACTCTCAGCCTGGCCTACTCCGCAGGGTTGTTTTGTGGACAAAATGGAGAAGAGGGGGCTCTGTGAGCCGCCTTGGGCTCCTCTCAAGAGGCAAAAAGGGTTAGGAAAACGAGGTGTCCTGGCGTGATTTCGATGGTTGGAATGTGTTCAAGAGGGACAGAAATGATGAACTGCGCAGGAAAAGCTCCTCAAGGACGGCTTTTTCAAAATCCTCCTCTTTTCTCTGGATCTTTACCCCTCTGTTAGGGTTAGGGCAGTGGTGGCGAACCGATGGCACGCGTGCCACGGTGGGCATGCAGAGTCCTCTCTTTTAGCACATGAGCCAATTCACCCCACCATCTCCCCAGCAACTGAGCATCGGATAACAGCGCACACAGGGGCCATGCGCATGCTCGGAAAGGAGTTACTGCGCCAGGCGATGACGTCACAAGCCCCCACTCATTGGTTGCAACTCGTCTGAGGTTTTGCATGGCCAGGCAGTGCACTGCCAAGGATATAAATATTTACTTGGGCTGGCTGTGTGTTGTTTGTTCTAAGCTAATACCTCAGTTTTCCGGTTTTATTGTAGTGTTGGCACTTTGCGATGAATAAGTGGGTTTTGGGTTGCAGTTTGGGCGCCCTGTCTCTGAAAGGTTCGCCATCACTGCTGTAGGTCCTTTCAGTAAACCATACCGCAGCCCCATAGGGTCAGTCTCTGCTATTCCCCCCACGGTGCGATAAGAGGCGAGCCCTGTCAGGCCTGTGATTCTGCCCTGCAACCCTTCACGGCGCTGTGGCCCGCCCCTCTTTCCTTTTTCTTATACTGGCATCAATCCTGCATTAAAAATTACACACCTTGGTACATTTTAGCCATGCTTAATATCGCCGAGAGCATCCGTGCATGTAGCCCGTTCACTGGCGTTCGTAAGCGCTGGAGGATTGTCCCTGCCTGCATCTCCCCGTCCTGCTAACCGGCTCTGCATTGAAACAGAAGCCCCTAATCAAACCGAAAAACGGGGTGGGTGAGGAAGGAGAGGGGAGAATCCAGTGGACTTGGAGGCAGCGGGCCAGGCGTGGAAGCAGGTGGGGCGCCGAATGGAGCGCTTCCACGCTTTAGAGCTGGGCGCTTGGCCTGGCCCCTGAGGAGCACCGTCCAGAGAATTCTTCTTCTGGGCTGGCAGCATTTCCCGGACACCTCTGGCTCCCTCTCTCCCGCAGGCTGAACATCGACGGCCTGCTGGTGTACTTCCCCTATGACTACATCTACCCGGAGCAGTATTCCTACATGCTGGAGCTCAAGAGGACCTTGGACGCCAAGGTCGGAGCAGAGCGCACCTTGCTGGGGCAGCCGGCGGCCTCTCGCACTCGTTGTCTCTTCCACGAATGCCCAAGAAGCGGGGTGTATATGGGGAGGCTGTGGGGCGGCTCCCGGGAGGAGGCGGGGCGGGCATGGGGGTGCCCCTCGGCCCAGAGGCCCCGGGATCCTGCAGCCCCACATCACTGCTCGCTCCACCTCTTCCCAGCGTGAACCCGGAGCCACGGCCTGTTCTCCCCCCGCTCCCGGAGTAGAACGGCGGGGGACGCGTGGCGTGGCGTGGCTGGCAACACGCGGCTGTGAAGGGCCCCGCCTGTTTCTCCCGCAGGGTCACGGCGTGCTGGAAATGCCCTCAGGCACTGGAAAGACCATCTCCCTCTTGTCCCTGATCGTGGCCTACCAGCGCGTGAGTAGCGGGAAGAAAACTGATTTATTCAAAAGGCGACCCGTTTTTGCAAGGCACTGTTTCTGTGTGTCTCTGCAACCTCCTTTCAGAGACTCTGAATGCACCATGGAAGAACAGGGGGCTTCTAGGACTGAAAACAGCCAGCAAAATTGAGTTCTGTGCGTAGAGAAGCAGTTTTCTTTCCTGGCCTTGGGTCCAGGAGCCAAACATGCCAATTCTGTCACAGGTGTTTGGAGAGACTAGCCACTTTTTAAAGCTGAATAATCTGGCTTTGATTAAACATCACTAATGCCTTTAAGGGCTGTCTTTTAACAAATGGCGCGCCAGGCAGCTTACTTAAAAGCAGTATGAGAACAGGATGAAAAATACAGGCCGGCCTGTGTGGCCCTCTGGAATCCGTGGGGAGCCACAGGCGCCTGGCTGCTGTGCGAGGCGTCCCCTCAGGGCGCGTCTCCATCTTGCTGGTGTCGCAGCCAGAGAGAAACCTCCTGACTCCTTTCTGCTCTGCAGGCTCACCCTCTGGATGTCACAAAACTCATTTACTGCTCCAGAACTGTGCCTGAGATTGAGAAGGTAAACCTGTCAGGCCGAGAGGCGTCTGTCGGAAGCTGCGACCGGCAGGTGTTGAGGGCTGGACCGAACCCCTCGGGGGTTTCTGGGTGTTCAGGGATGGCCTGGTGGGTCAGGGGAGCTTTTCCAGAAAGGTGGGGTGGCAGGGGATGACTGAGCGTGGCCTCTGCTCCAGGTCATTGAGGAACTGAGGAAGCTTCTGGACTTCCATGAGAAGCAAATGCGAGAGAAGCTGCCCTTCCTGGGCCTGGCGCTCAGCTCCAGGAAGAACCTGTGCATCCACCCAGAGGTACCCTTGCATCCCGAGGCCGGGCTTCTGTGGTCCTGCTCTCGGGCCAAGCGGAGTCTCACCTGTATTGCCAAGGCCATGGCGGCACTGCAGGTTCCTGGCCGCAGGTGCAGCGCCTCCCCGTCTGCCTGGGGGGCTCCCTCTTCCCCTTTCCTTCACCCCGTTCACATGCCGCAGCCCCACCTTCCAAGTCGGACACGGGGCGCTCTTCCGCGCCTGACCTCTGCATTACGTCGCAAGCAGCCCTGGGGGTAGGTGGAGCTGGGGCAAGGCTGCCAGCAAGCCCCACGGCTCAGCGGGGATGGGAGCGTGTGTCTTCGTGGCCCTGCTGGAGCACTCTGGCCCTGCCTGCCCGGCCTGGCGTCCGTCGGGGAGTGGGGGCGCCGCCGCGCCTGGCTGAGAGGCCTCCCCTGGGACCCCTGGCCCAGTGCATGATGCCGAAGCCCCAGGGCTGTCCATGCCCGGAGGCAGGATACTGGGGGCGGGGAGGAAAAAGAAGGCCAAGGGGCAAGGCCGGAGCTGCTGCCCGCTTCTCTTCATAGGTGAGTGCCTTCCGCTTCGGGAAGGAGGTGGACGGGAAGTGCTTCAGCCTGACGGCCTCGTACGTGCGAGCGCAGCGCCAGCAGGACAGCAGCGTCCCTTCGTGCAGCTTCTTTGAGGTATCCGGAGGCTGTGAGATTGGGGGGGGGGTTCTGCAAGCCCAAACTCCCCAGCAGTTCAGCTGTCCCACATCAGTGGCCGAGGGGTCAGGGCGGGACTGCTCCATGGCGAGCACCCGCCCTGCATCCAGAAGGGGTCCGGCCTCAGTGGCCAGCAGGCAGCACCGAGCCAGGCTGGAAGGGCTGCACCTGGGCCCCGGGGGGCCGTGGGGGCCGGGGGCCGGGCAGGGGTGGCCCCGGTGCACCTCCCTGTGCGCAGAGAGGGCCGAGGGTCTCCAGGGGCGACGTGGCCGGACCCGTCAGCATTCCGCTCGCACGCATTCATGCCCGGTCTGTTTTCTCTGCAACTGGAAGGCAAAGCCTGCACAAAGATTCCCAGTCCGTGTGAGCGGGAAATGCGTTGGCCAGTTTCCTCTCGGCAAGGGCTTGGCCCCCGTTTGCCTGGCTGCAGGCCGGGGCATGGCGCGGGCCGGCGGGCCGGTTGGCCCACTCACGAAAGCAGGCCGGGGTGGGAGCCACCCGCCTCTCAGTTGACCGATGCCCTTGCCTTCCTCCCTGGCAGGAGTTTGATGCCCACGGCCGGCAGGTGCCTCTCCCGTACGGCGTGTACAACCTGGACAACCTGAAGGCCTTCGGGCGGCAGAAGGGCTGGTGCCCCTACTTCCTCGCCCGATACGCGGTACTGTGGCAGTGGCGAGCAGGTCCTGGTTTCTCCCTGGCGCAGAATGGGCGAGCCGGGCGGGCCGTAGAGAACAGGGTCCTGCTCCTTTGATGAGCACGGAACTTGTCTCGAATCGAGCAGAAGGAGAAATAATGGACAATAAGCCTTCCCTGTTTTGCTTGTGAAAACGGCAAGTTCCTAGTCCTGATGAGGGTCAGGCGTTGGCATCCCTGTGCCTTCCCTGACAAGTGAAGTCACAACAGAACGTGCCGATTGAGGGAGTCTGGTTTCTACTTGCCCGGTTTATAGAAGGGGCAGAATTGGGCCTTTCTGGGCGCAGAGGGCCCGCAGGCAGCGGCTCTCGCAGCCTCTCTCCCGGGCCGCTTTCGGGGCTCCCCTTTCTCCTCTGGGCAGCTGCGGGTGAAGCCCCCCCCAGGCCCGTTCCAGCCCCGCCGTCTCCTCCGCGCTCTTTCAGCTCCTGCACGCCAACATAGTGGTGTACAGCTACCACTATCTCCTGGATCCCAAGATCGCCGACATGGTCTCCAAGGAGCTGGCCAAGAGATCCGTGGTCGTCTTCGACGAGGCTCACAATATTGGTAGGGCCGCCCTCCCTTTGTGAGGCACGGGGGGGGAGCTTTTCTGGGGTCCCGCTTGGGCCGCCTCGCCTCGCCGTGTGAGCGCGCAGGGAGCCTGTGCCGTGCGGTGCTGCAGGGAGGCAGCCCTGGGGGGGGACCGGGCCGCATGCGTGGGAGCAGAGGGTCCCTGGGCGACCGGGGGCCGGGGCTGTTTCCAGGGTGCCCTGCTGGAGGCCTCCCGGGGCTGAGGCAGGGCCTGGCTCGGCCTCCTCTTCCTTTCCGCCTCCTGCCCCACGGGGGGTGGGTGCAGGAAGCCAGCTTGGTGCCGCCGCCATGCAGCGCTTCTCCAGGGATGGAGGCAGGCAGGGTCCCCATCAGCTGCTCCCCCCGGAGAAGTCGGGTTCGAATCGGGCCGTCTGCTTGCCAGGCCCGGCCAAGGCAGGGGCCTCTTGTTCAGCTGGGCCGGGGGCTGTTTCCCTCCTTTCCCTGCAGCATTTCTCAGGGCGTTCAGTGCATTGCAGGACGGTTGTAATTACATTCTCGTGTGGAATGTTTCTTCCATGGGTGTTGGCCTCACTGCGCACCCTTTGCTGGCAGAAAGGCAGAGTATCGGTACTTGTGGTGAATTAAATTATCAGTTCTGATCGCTGAGCGAGCCAAGTGGGTAGCTCCACCGCTCGTGTCGCCGGCTCGCCAAAGAGCCACGAATTGGGCGACGGGAGGCGCCTGTGCCGAGGGGCAGCTTCTGGGCTTCTGCACTGCTGCCTTGCAAGGCGTGTGTGGGGGCAACCAGGCCACCTCTCTCGTTCTTGGCTCACAGACAATGTCTGCATTGATTCCATGGGTGTCAACATCACGCGCAAGATGCTGGATCGTTGCCAGGGCAACGTGGCCACTCTGCAAGCCACCATCCAGAAGTGAGTGGAGAGAGCAAGGGGCCACACTGTGCCATACACTTCCAGGGGTGACTTTGCAGCCAGAGGACTAGAAACTTGAAAGCATTTTAATTTTGAAAGCGGAGAAACCCGGGGAGCTGGCGAAGCCTCGTTGGCTTTTGGGCAAACTCTCCCACCGAGTGATCCCGAGGCAGAAACAGCAGAGAACCTCTTGACAATGTATTGCTGCCACAGGCATTCTCTGACTTCTGGGGGAATGACAGGGCTCGATTTCCTACAGCCCCTTTGTGGTGTTTCTCGCTGTTCTTATGCTCTCTCTGTATAAGTTTTATCCTGTGTTCCTTCTGCATTGTGCTGTTTGTGACGTTCAGGCTGCTAAACGGCACAGAAGTAGCATAAATGCAGAAAGACTGTACAGAACTGGGGGCACGTCGGGAGCTGGGCGAGGGAGGCCCTGGGACCAGCCGCAGGGAAGGTGCAGGCACTGCCGCTGAGCCACGGAGGGGCCCCTTGCTCCCCCCCCCACCGTGGCAGCTGCGGGGGCTTCTGTGCTCTCCTGGGGTTGGGCAAGGCCCCTGTGCCCCCCTCAGAGCATGCCCCTCCTCAGGATCAAGGAGACGGATGCGGAGAAGCTGAAGGAGGAGTACAGGCGCCTGGTGGAGGGGCTGCGGGAGGCCAACATCGCCCGGGAAACTGACGTCTACCTGGCCAACCCGGTGCTGCCGGACGAGGTCCTCCGAGGTGGGAGCCGGGGCGTCGCTCCGCTGGGGGGCGCGATCTCCCCCTTGGCCGGAGGGAGCCGAGGCCTCGCGGCGGGGAGGGGCGAGCCCACGACGGCCGGCCCCCGCATGGGCATCGGGAAGTGGCGTCCCCGGTCGGAGCTGGCCTCTGCCGCAGCCTGTGCCCGCCCTCCCCTCTCACAGGCGGCCTTTGGGCCGAGCACAGCGGTCCTCCTCCAGAAGGAGCCGCCTCGTGTGCTGGGGGCCGGGGGGGCCGCCACCTCCGTGTGCACGGCCACGGGGGCCCCGTCCGCCGGCAGTGCCCGTGCCTGGCTGCCTCACGCCGTCCTCTCGGCAGAGTCCGTGCCGGGCAACATCCGGACCGCGGAGCACTTCGTGGGCTTCCTGAAGCGCTTCCTGGAGTACCTGAAGTCTCGGCTGCGGGTGCATCACGTGGTCCAGGAGAGCCCCCCGTCTTTTCTGAAGGACGTCTTCGAAAAGGTCTGCATCGAGCGCAAGCCCCTCCGGTAAGTGGGCTGGGGGGCCGCCGGGGAGCGCCCCCCCCGCCACCACCGGCCTCGGCCTCATCCGGAGGGTGCCCGGCGGGCTGGCTCCCGCTGTGCCTGCCTGCAGCTCGCTTCATTCCGTGTCGGCAGCGGAGACACGCGTGCTCCCCCCCGGCTGGGGTCCCGGAGGGAAAGGAGCGTGCAGGGTGCGTGCGGCAGGCGTGCGAAGGTTCCGCAGCCACCTCTTGGCACACGTGCAAGCCGCGGATGGGTGCCTCCACAGGTTCTGTGCCGAGCGGCTGCACTCCCTCCTTCGCACGCTGGAGATTTCCGACATCGCCGACTTCTCCCCCATCACCCTGATCGCCAACTTCGCCACGCTGGTCAGCACGTACTCCAAGGGTGAGTGGCCGGCGCCGCTCAGGCGAGGCACGTGGGGCTGAGCTGAGCAGCTTGGGCAAGCCCAGTCCTGGGCGAGCGCTTGGCTGCCCCACACGTTGGGGTCGGAAAGGCAGCTGCACAGAAGTGCCGGGGGCAGTGTACCCAGTGCGCAGTTGTGGGGGATGGCGTGAGCGGAGCCGCTGGAGCCGGGGTCAGACTAGATGGCCCGGGAGGCCCCTTCTGCCTCGCTCTGTTTCTGCGCCTGTGTTGCAGAGCTGAGCGCTTTGCCCGTTTCCGGGCTGGCGTCAGAATAGACGATACCCTGCGGGGGGGCACCCCGGTTGGGGCACCGTCACCGAGAAAGCCCCTCGGCGTCTCAGAGCCCGCAGGTCCAGGGGCAGCTGGCCGTCTCCACGAAGGGGCGCGTCCCCCTTGCTGAGGGCGGCTGTGCGCCCTGGCGAGCCCGGGCCGGCCAGGGGACGGGGTGCATCGCTTCCCAGGGCAGCCGCGTCTGGCGGCAGGCTGGAGCACTGCCCCAAGGCCGAGGGAAGGAAATGGCCCCGCGTGCGTTTCTGACGTGCCACAGCATATAAATACCGCCTAAGGCTCTTAAGCGCTTAGCTCTGCAGCCAAGTCAGCCCTTCACCTCTAAGAAGCTTACTTTTTCCTCCTTGGTGCTTGGAGGGAAAGGCTTCTCCCGTCTGCCACTGTCCGAGCGTCTCAGACCATATCCAGCTTGCAAGCTCAAAGCGCAGCAGAGAAGAAGAAAACAGCCCCCCTCGGCGAGGCGCCACCGCGCATCGGCGAGCGTGTGGCTCCCCGCGGCATGTGGCACTTCGCCAGAGGCTCTGGCGGGCCTGGGGGGCCTCCCCACGCCTGAGAGGCCAGTGTGCCTCACGCCACCCAGAGCGCCCCTGGGCAAGACGGACAGCGCAGTGCTGAGCCCGCTCCCCAGCACCGGTCGTCTTGGGGCTCACGCCCCTCACCCAGCAGGGCTGCCCCTCCCCACCAGAAAACAGTCAGAGGAGCAGAACCCCAAAAACAGAGCCAGGTTGATCTCAGTTTCACCAGAAACCAGCTTTGACAGACATGATTATGCGAAACGGGGGGCTCTAACTCGGGGCTCCCCATGAGGAGGGACCTGGCCCACCCAGAGCATGCGCTGCCTCCATCTCGCCAGCGAATCCATGGCCGTCTCCGGAGGAGGCCCTCTGGCAGGATGTGGCCCTTTCACGAAGCCCTTCGTGTCCGTGGGGCTGGGAGCGGGGAAGCGAGCTGCCGCCAAGGGAAAGAGCCGTTCAGGCCGCGCCGGTAGAGGGTCTGCCTCCGCCGTGGACCCTCGCTACTTCCACGTTACTCCTTCCTTGGGGGGCTGCACTGCCGTGCCCTTCCGGCAAAGGAGGCGGGTGCCTGAACGGCACTCGAGCAGCATCGGCGAGAGAACACGCGTGCCGTGGGAACGGGTTTCTCTGCTAGGCGCTGCCCCTGCCCTGTTTTTGGAGAAAAGCTGGGTTTTCTCTGGACTCTTGGTGCAACCGGCGTCCTGATCCTGAGCGGGAGCCCGGAATCCTGGCTTTCGCGGGCGGTCGGCCCACATCTGTGCTTTCTCGGGCCGCAGGTTTTACCATCATCATCGAGCCCTTTGATGAGCGGACCCCCACCATCACCAACCCGGTCCTGCACTTCAGGTGGGGGTCATGGCCGTCCCGCCCGTCGGGCGGCCTCGCGTTCGGTGCTGCCTGGCCGGGGCGCCCCCTCAGAAGGGTGGCCAAGGGCCCCGGAGGAAGCTGGCCGGGCGAAGGCACCGCCGTCCCGGGGATCAGTGCAGCCGCGTGGCGGGAGGGCCGGGCGGGGGAGGGCCGGGCGGGGGGCCTTGGAGCGCCGCCCCCAGGATCTCTCCCAGTGCCTGTGCACAGGAGGGAGCCCCCCCCCCCGAGCCTGACTTTCAGGGGAGTGGGCGCTGTTCCTCCGGCGCCCCAGCCTTGCGTGCCGACGTCTGTGGGTGAGGGACCCGTCCTCGCCTTCCCGACCCCTTCCCGGCCCTCTGTGCCCGCAGCTGCATGGACGCCTCCATCGCCATCAAGCCGGTCTTCGAGCGCTTCCAGTCCGTCATCATCACCTCGGGAGTGAGTGTGCCGCGTGCAGGGCTCCAGGCTCCGGCGGGGCCCGGGTGGCTCCTCTCCTGCTGCTGGGTGGGGGGCAGAATAGGTGCTGGGAGGCTGTGGCCGCCGCTCCGGTCACCCACCCTGTCCCCCCATGCAGACGCTCTCCCCGCTGGACATCTATCCCAAGATCCTGGACTTCCGGCCGGTGACCATGGCCACGTTCACGATGACTCTGGCCAGGACCTGCCTGTGCCCCATGGTGAGTGCAAGGGCCGCGGAGTGAGGGAGCGCCCCTCCCCGGGTGGCCCTGTGCCGCAGCAGCGAGCCCAGATGGCGGGGGGAGCACCTTCAGACGCTGCCCCAGAGAGCCGCCTGACTCCGAATCAGCCCTTGGTCCAGGCACGTGGACCAGAGCCGGCACGCCTGGACTCACGGGGAGCCTGCTGGTTCTGCGGCCGGAAGCTCCAGGTGTGAAGCCGGCCCTCTTACCTGCAAGGCACCTGTGGGCCGATTGGCCGCGGCCTTGCGGAAACAGCGGCTACCTGCAGGCAGGACTCTCGGAGCAGCTCTGGCCCCTGCTGCTGCTTCCTCCTGAGGAGGAGGAGGAGGAGGAGGAGGCGGCATCTGGCTGGGGGCTTTCTGCGCAGCGAGGGGGCTTCCCTGCCCCTGCGGAAGCGCCTGCTCGGTCGGCAGCCCCGGTCGGCAGCGGTCCCATTTCCCGGTGCCCCTTTCAGGTGGTGGGGCGTGGGAATGACCAGGTGGCCATCAGCTCCAAGTTCGAGACGCGGGAAGATATCGGTGAGTGCTGCCTTCAGCGTCCGTGAAAGCCCCCTTGGCTTGGGGGCAGGTATTTGCCTCGGAGTCCCTTCCTTGCCGTGGCTGCCTCTCCCCCCTCGTGCCCATCGTGGGGCTGAGAGAACCACACGGCCGCTGGTGCCGTTTCTGTGCCGTTTCTGCCGGCGGTCCAGCGTTCGGGGCCAGGCGAGGCTTGTGCCGGCTCCCCCGTGCCCTCGGTCCGGGCAGGGAAGGCTGTTGCCCCTTCTCACGCCCGGCCCTGCCTCCCGGCAGCGGTGATCCGGAATTACGGCAACCTGCTGCTGGAGATGTCCGCCATCGTCCCGGACGGCATCGTGGCCTTCTTCACCAGCTACCAGTACATGGAGAACATCGTCGCCTCGTGGTACGAGCAGGTGCGTGCCCCAGGCGGCCCCTCCCGGCCCCTCTCCTTTCCTCTCCTCCGCGGGGAGGTCAGCAGCGCGTTAACCCGCACTTTAAGCCCAGTGGCATGAGAGCGTCTGCCCAAATCGGTTTTCCCAAGACGGCCACGGGCTCAGTGGGCTTTGGGGGGATTAGACCGACTCCCGGAGGAAGGGCCTGCAGGGGATGGGTCAACTCCCCATCTTTGGACAGCGGCTCTCCCGGTACCAGTCCCAGGGGGGCTTGTTCCTTGCTGCCCTGCTTCCCTCTGGGAAGTCCCTTGACCTGGTGTGCCTTGTCTTATATTCTGAATTGTAATTAAAGCGGGAAAAGCAGCGGTGCTGTGCCCGCTTGTCCCGGGGCTTATCCTGAGGTAGCTCTGAAAGGGCCATGAGAAGGGCAGGGTGGAAACGGAACGGGACGCGGGTGGCGCCGCTGGAACTCCCCACTGCTGTTCCCCGGCTGCGCTCCGGGGCTCGAAAGGGTGGCGCCTGTGTGCCCGTGGCCCTGGCAGGATGGAGCCCCCCGCCGGCCCCCAGCCCCCCCCCCGCGGTCCTGACAGGGCGCCAGTCTCCCGCGAAGGAGCTGCCTGCCGCCCGGCCCCTTCCAGCACAGCCGGTCTGCAGCGGCCGTGGCCTTCGTGGCCTGAGCTGTGTGGCCTGCTCAGCTCTTGCCTCTGCCTCCGAAGGGGATCTTGGAGAACATTCAGCGCAACAAGCTCATCTTCATAGAGACGCAGGATGGCGCCGAGACGAGCGTGGCGCTGGAGAAGTACCAGGAGGTGTGTGGCCCGCGGGGAGGGCCCTGGTGGGTGTGGGACTGCGGCGAGCAGCGGCCCCCCGGGCCACGGGCGGGCTTGTGCCTTGTGGCCATGCTGTGGCAGCGCGGGGGCTCCGGGTGCGTCTGGGCCGGGGCCGAGCCCTCAGATGCGCGCAGTGCGCCGGCCCCTCGCTGTCGGGGGCCGGCCTGGGCAGTCCCACCAGGGCAGGGGCCCTCCACGGGCCCGGCTGCATGTCCAGCGCGGACTCCGGCTGCGGACGCCCGTTCGGGGGCCGGGCGGGCTTCGTGATGAGGGCCTGTTTGCCGGCAGGCCTGCGAGAACGGCCGGGGAGCCATCCTGCTGTCCGTGGCCCGGGGGAAGGTCTCGGAGGGCATCGACTTTGGTGAGCACCTGTCCCTCCCCTCCCCTCCCCTCCCCTCCCCTCCCCAGCCGCCCGTTGCTCCTGCCCGGGGCAGCGGGGGGGGGGGGGCATTCCAGCCTGCACAGACGCTTCTGCCTGCTCTGCCCCACAGTGCACCACTACGGGAGAGCCGTGATCATGTTCGGGGTGCCCTACGTCTACACGCAGAGCCGCATCCTGAAGGTGAGCCGGGCCCGTCTGCCGCCTCCGCCTCCTCGGCCGATCTCCTCGGCACAGGCCTTGCAAGCCGGAGAGCACCGCCTGCCTGCGCCGTGCAGATCCCCAGGGCCTGGCAGGCACAGCAGCCGCCTCGTTGCCTGGAGAAGCTCCCCCGGGGCCTTTCCCCAGCTCCCTGGCTCCGCTGCAGGAGGGCTGCCCTGCAGGGGGCAAAGGGGGGAGCCCTCGTGCTGGGGGGCAGGTGGTCCCTTCCGGGCGCAACGGCTTGGGCCGCTTCCCAGAGGCAGGCCTGGGAAACGAGCTTCGGCGCCTGCTCTGGCCGGCCCTGCCCGGCAGCCCTTCCCGCCACGCAGCCGGCCTCCCGGAGGGGCTGCAGGCTGGACTGGCAGGCTTAATCCCCGCGCTGGCAGCCAGCCAGGAAGGCCCAGCCCCGAGAGCCACTCGTCGGCGCTTCCCGGCCGCAGCGGAGCCTCTGGGCACGTGGGGAGCAGCCTGTGGGTCGCGGCCGTCCACTGGCCTGCAGCCTTTTCGGGAGGGGCTGGCTCCCCCCAAGGCCCTAGGGGCGCCCCCAGGGGCATCTGGCCAGCCGTGCTTTCCCAGGGCAGAGTCCTGGCTAGCAGCCTTCCCCGGAGCCTGGTCCCAGGCGGGAAGGTGCGTTGGGCAGCTCCAGCCGGGCTCTTCTGGGCGTGAGCTCTCCTGCCTCCGGCTGCCCGGCCCCTCCTTGCCTGGGGGCCTGCAAGGCACGCCTGCCCCCTTCTCCCAGCCTGGAACACCAGGAAGCAACGCCGGCTCTTCCAGGGCAGGGCAGGGGGCAGTGATAGCACACCCAAGTGGCCCTTAGAAGGACGGGGGGGGGGCAGGAGGTGCGCCCTCCGCCGCGGCCCCCCAGCCCCCGAAAGCCTCGCAGCCCGGCTGCCTGCCCCCCAGGCCCGGCTGGAGTACCTGCGGGACCAGTTCCAGATCCGCGAGAACGACTTCCTGACCTTCGACGCCATGCGGCATGCGGCCCAGTGCGTGGGGCGGGCGATCCGGGGCAAGACCGACTACGGCCTCATGGTCTTCGCGGACAAGGTGCGTGCCGAGGGGCCCGCCGGGGGTGGGGGCGCCGCGGGCGGGGGGGCTCTGCGGGCCACGGGGTCCGCCCCGCCCCCCGCTTCACATGGCGGTGCCTTCCCCCTCGGCAGCGCTTCGCCCGGGCCGACAAGCGGGGCAAGCTGCCCCGCTGGATCCAGGAGCACCTGACGGATGCCAACCTCAACCTGACGGTGGACGAGGCCGTGCAGGTGTCGAAGTACTTCCTGCGGCAGATGGCCCAGCCCTTCCGCAAGGCGAGTGCCGTGCGGGGAGCCCCCGGGCGAGGGGGCCGCCTCCCTGCAGCCCCCCACGTGCTTCCGTTCCGCGAGCCAGGCCGGGCCCCCAGAGGGCTCTCCTCCCCCCAGCCCCAGGCCTCTTTGGCCTTCGGGCCCCCTGCTCTGGGTGCGGCCCCCGCACTGCCCCAGGTTAGCAGAGATCCCCCCCGCGGGAGCCAAGAGCCACGTCGGGGGAGGCTGCACCCGGCTATGGGGCCAGGGCAGCCGAGGGCCCGCCGCAGGGAGCCCCACGGGGCCCGGCGGTGGGGCGGAGACGCATGCTGGGCACTAGGCCCCCTTCCCGCCTGACCGCAGCCCTCTCCCCGCAGGAGGACCAGCTGGGCCTGTCCCTGCTCACCCTCGAGCAGCTGCAGTCGGAGGCCGTGCTACACAAGGTGCAGGAGCTGGCGCACCAGGTGTGAGCGGCGGGCAGGGCGCCCGGCAGGAGGGGGGCAGCCGGGCAGGACCCGCCTCGCCCTGTGGCTGCTGCAGCCAGGCCCCCCCCCTGGCCGTCGGGGCAGCCGCCTCGTGCCGTCCGGGGCACCGGCCGGAGGGCTGGGAATCCCGTCTCCAGGGCTAGGACTTGATTTAATAAAGAGGCCTGAGGGCTGTTTTGCGAGGATCGCCTCCCTCCTGCTTCGTCCGTGCCGGAACCCCGTGAAGCTGCTGGCCGGCCAGCCTGCCCCATGTCCCCAGCGAGCTCCATGGCCCAGCGGGGACCGGAGGCCGGTCACTCGCCCCGAGCCCTGCAGGGCGCAGGGCCAGCCACTCCTGCGGAGGCCGCTCTTCCCATGCAGGTGCCACCCCCCCAAGAAGGAGACTGGGGGCAGGATCTATTTACAGCCACCTCTTTATTTAGCGGGTGGGGCAGGGGAGGGGGTCCGTCCCCCGTTGCATAAATAGAATAAATACAGGTCTTTGGCTGGACGGAAGCAGCCGCAGTCCCGCCGCGACAGGCCCTGGAGGGGCGCGCCTGCTCCTGGTCCTCAGCTGAGCTTAAGGCAGCAAGGAGGGCACTGAGCCCCCCGCTCCTGAGGTTCTGGGGGGGCGTCCACCGCCCCCCTTCCTGAGAAAATAGCAGCCTGCCTTGCTTTGCAGGGGGCTCTCCCTCCGGCCCTGTTTGGCGGCGGGGGGGGGGGGCTGCTCCATGCAGGCTGGAGCCTCGGGCCCCGGGGGCTGCCTCTTTCATAGAGACTGGCCGGGGGACTCTGCTCGGGGCAGGGGAGGGCCAGGCCGTGGTCCGGGGGCAGCGGGGGGCCAGAGCTGGCGCAGGTGGGCCGAGGGGCGAGCTTTCTTAGCGGCGGGCAGCACGAGCACAGCAGGGAGAGCCGCCCGTCCTAGGGGCAGCTGCCACGCAGGAGGTCTTGCGTGCTGGAGCTGAGGCTGCGGGCACCGGACAGCCTCCTGCCGGGCTGCTGCGGGGGGGAAAGGGAGAGGTCACGGGGGGCCTCACGCCACAGCCCCACCACCCTCGGCGCCCCCCTGCCGCTGGAGTGGCCCCCGGGGCATCGGGCAGCGTGGCTCCCCTCCCTGCCCCAGAGCCCGAGCCGCGTTGGCGGGCCCGTCGTGGGAGGCAGGGCGGGGACGCTGCTCTCGTGCAGAGGGCGCACCCTGCGGTCTCACCTGGAGCGCCCGGCGGCCCACGCGGCCCCCTGGGGGCCAGCCGCTGCCACGTGTGGCACCCCCGGGCCCCTTGCAGCGGGGCGGCCGCGCTGGGGCACCGTGTGGCCGCCTGCCCATCTTCACAGAGCGGGCAAGAGACCCGGACGCCCCTCGTGCCGGCTGGGCCTCGGGGGCCGAGCGGCAGCCCCTCCTGCCCCTTCGGCTCAGAAGCTCACCGTGGGCGAGGCCGCAGCCGCCCTCTCGCTCAGGTGCAGCACGCTGAGGGACGCGGCCCGCTTCATCCTGCGGAATGGCAGCACGGCGGTCAGCTCTGGCTCTGCCTCTGGCCGGCACCCGGCGGGCGCGTGAGCCGCCCTGCCCTGCCCGGCCCGGCCCGGCCCGGCCCTGCCGGCTGCCGGAGTGCCCCTCCCCGCGTGCGGCGGCACCCTCAGCCGGAGGCGAGGGCCCGGGCGGCCACGTCCAGGAGCTGCCGACTCACCCGGGGCCTGCGGCCGCGTTGGGGCGCCGGGCCCCTTCCCCCTTGAGCTTGGAGACCAGCTTCTCGCTGCCCCGTTTGATGGACTCGCGGAACCGGAAGAAGGAGCTGCTGCGCCGCAGGCTCCCCGGCACGTCCTTGCGCGGAAAGAGAGGCTGAGGCCCCGCGGCAGCAGCCAGCGAGTGCCCCTGCCCGTCCACCGCGGGCCCCCTCCCCAGCCGCCCCGATGCAAGCTGGGGGGCAGGGGCTGGCGAGAACGCAGCCTCCTCTGCCCCTCCACCCCCCCAAAGGGAAGAAGGAACAGTCCCCTGGAAAGGCGCGCCGGAAGGAGGACACGGGACTCCAGAGAGGCCGCACCTGCCCTTCCCGGCGCGTACCTGGCCCTCCAGGGTGCTGCCAGCTCCCACGCCGGTTTCCTCTGAGCAACGGGAGAGGGAGAAGAAGTCAGACCGCCATCCGCAGGCGCACTCCTGAAGCTCCCCCAGGGCGACGTGCCCCCCCCCCCCCCCCTCTGCGGGGGGGCCCCCACGTCCAGCAGGGTCCTTACCCCCCCGGGTGGTGGCCCCCTCCTGGTCCTGCGAGGAGAGGATCTCTTTGTACAGCTCCTCGGCCTGCTGGTACTTGCCCTGCTTCAGGTATGAGGAGGCCTGGGGAGGGAGAGCGGGGCAGCGTCACCTGAGCGCCCCACCTGCAGAGCGGCCACCCTGCCTCCATGAGGCCTAGCTGGCTGCCGCAAGCTAGCTGAAGTGGCAGGTCAACAGGGAGCCAAGACGAGAAAGTTCACTCTGTCAGTCAACGAGATTAAGAGGTTTCGTACGTCTGGACAGACCAAAGCCGTGCCCCAAATATTTAGGTCAGAGATTTCAAATGTTATCCAGAAGGTGCTTGGAGCACTTCCAGGCTGGGCTTGGATGCTCCCCAGCCACATCCCAAAACTTCACTTACCCATTTTAAGTCGTGGGGCCTGCCTATTTTTCCCTAGGATTCCAAGGAAATTCGGGGAGCAAATATTTTCTATAATTCTTCCCTGAATTCAGTGCTGGCACATGAGCTGCGCTTTCCCTCCCAGCTTCAGCCCCCTTTTACAATTCGGTAATTGTCCTACATCACAGGGTTGTTGTCTCTGGGAAGTGGTCAAGATCAGCCTGTAGCTCAGGGCTGTCTCCTCTGAGCAGCAGCCTCTCCAGGGGGCCCAGGGAGGGGCCTTTCCCAACCCTACTGGGGAGAATGGGTTTGAACCCGGGACCGAGGCAGGCAAGGCCGGCGACTTGCAGGCTGTAGCTGAGCGGGGACTTTTTGCTGGTGGTGCTGCGTTACAAAACACCCTCCCCAAGGAGACCTGCCTGGCCCAATCCTGCACGCCTTCGAGCACCACGCTTTTCAGGCAGCTCTTTGGAACAGCTGAGGCCGTTTCCGGCTGCTGCTTTGCTCCCATGTCGTGCAGTTCATTCCACCCCGTTGCTTCCTTTGGAAAACTTTCTTGTTGATCTTTATAAGTAATGCCATGGTTAGTTTGCTGACTCGGGTTCGATCAGCTTGCAAATGAACCAGTTGCAAGCATGAATCTCGTGACAATGAAGTCAGCATCTTTCCACAAGCATACGATGAAGCGCTCCACCCAAATCGGCAGGGAAGCCGACAGTCCGCGGGGGAGCAACTGGCCCCTTCTTTCCGGCCGCTGCCATCGCATGCTTTCGGGGAGGGGGGGGCACTGCCCTGAGGGAAGGGGCCCGCCCGGCGGCCGGCCGGCCCCCGCAGCACTTGCCAGGTTGTTCTTGGTCTTGGCCACATTGGGGTCGTCGGGCCCCAGCCGCGCCTGGTAGATGCTCAGCGCCCGCTGGTAGTAGCGCTCCACCTCCTCAAACTTGCCCTGGTTCTGGCAGAGCAGGGCCAGGTTGTTCAGCTGCTTCGCCACGTCCGGGTGATCGGTGCCCAGCACCTGCGAAAGAGCCCTCGGGTCAGGCCCCCAGCCCTCGCCCCGCCGGACCCGCGGCTCTACGGGGCTGGTGCCGGGAGGCCCCGTTCCCACACAGCTCTGAGCCACCAGGTGCGTGAAGCACGCATCCCCGTTTGGGGCAGACGAGGCGGGATTCCCCCCCCCCGGGGGGCGCCCTCACCTTCTCGCGGATCTCCAGGGCCCTCTCGCACAGGGGCTCGGCCTCCTTGTACTTCCCACGCTTGCCGTACAGCACGGCCAGGTTGTTCAGGGTGGCGGCCACCTGCCGGGGACAGGAAGGGATTGGGCCGGTGGGTCTGCCGACGCGCCGCTGCTCCCGGAGGCCCGGGACCTCGCGCGCCCCTGCCCCTGCCCGCAGAGGGGGCTGCACAGCCTTCCGAGGCCCGGCCGACCCCCTCCTCGGAGCGCCCCTTCCTTACCAGAGAGAAGCACTCCCGGGGGCAGCTGGGAACACACTCCGTCCGCAGACTCTAGGCCTCGGGGCGCCTGCGTCCCTGCACCCCCCGCCCCCCGCCCGGAGACTCACCGCGGGGTGCTCCACGCCGAGGGTCTGCTCCCGGATGCCGAGGGCGTCGTTGAGCAGCTCCGTGGCTTCCTTGTACTTGTTCTGGTCCCTGCAGGGGGAGAGGCGGCACTGCGGGAAGCGCCCCCGGCTGCCGGCGGGAGGGAGACCACGCGGCGGGCCGTGGAGTGACGATCCGGGGGGCGATCCCGGCCCCAGGACGCTCTTACCTGTAGACCAGGGCCAGGATGTTGAGCATGGTGGCCACGTCCGGGTGGCTGTGCCCGGAGCTCTTCTCCAGGTCCTCGAGGGCCTGCTTGCACAGGGGCACAGCCACCTCGTAGCGCCCCTGCGAGGCGTACTGGATGACCAGGTTGTGCAGCGTCCGCAGGCGGGCTGGGATCTCGTAGCCGCCTTGCTGCGCCACGGAAGCCGCTGCGCTCGGGCTCGGCACCCCTGCGGGGAGACAGCCACACGCTGGAGGAGGGCGAGGGACGGAGAAGCCCCGCCGGCCGGGGATTTGCAGCGGAGCCGCTGGGCCCTCTGTGCTTACGGCTCTCAAAGGGCAGCCGCCGCGCACCTGCAGCTGGCGCCCGCCCATCCTGCTCCATCTTGAATTGCCACCCAGTTCTGGAGAGGGGCTCTTGGGCTCCCCGCAAAAAGCAGAGCGGCGCCTGCAGGCCAGGGGCTGCCCCGCGCCCGACCGACCAGCCAGACCCCTCCGCCTCCCCCCAGCCTGGCCTTGGGCTCCGGGAGGACGTGGTTCTGCACCGGGCGTCCTTCTGGACCGCTGCACAGGGAGAGGTGAGGCAGCACTGGGGACGGCGGGGGAGAGGCAGGCAGAAAGGAAGCGTCCGAAGGGGACATCTGCCCTCCCGCTCAGCCTGCACTGAGGGTTGCATTACGAGCTGGGCCCCCCTGACAGTCCCCTCCGATGCTGGGGGTGCCCCAGTGCGAAGGGCTTCAGCACAAACTTGGAAGAGCGGTCCGGTCCCCCGCACTGGACTTTGGGAGCGAGTCCAGAGGTTCCGCCTGCAGCCTGGACAGAGCCGGCAGGCGGCACCCAAGAGGAGCCCTCCCTGCCGGGGGCTCAGCACTTGGGGGACCTCCGGGAAGCAATTCCGTGTTTCTCCTCACTGCGGTTACCCTGTGAATCCCGGCGCGCCCCCCAGCTCCCACTTCCCCAGGCCGACGTGGGGGAGCCCGGGGCATTCCAGCGCAGGCCACGCCCCTCGCCTCCTGACTCCGCCCCTCCGCAGGGCGTGGCATGGCCGTGCTGATGGCTCCTCACCCTGCCGCTGCTCTTCTTCATCGCTGGGGAAGAGCGAGGACAAGCTGTCCTTCCTCTGCTCCGCGTCGTCCTGCTCAGGCTGCAGGGAGGAAACGGAAGGGTTGCAGCGGGGGGCGGGGGGCTGCTTCCGTGGCGGCCGCACGCTTTCAGAGCACACTTGGCGGCAAGTATTTCTGACACACATCACTTCAGAAAACCACAACAGGGACCCCAAAATCCAAAAAGTGGGTGAATCTACCATGTCAATCTTGTCTAGAAGGCTTTTGCAAAATCGCCCTATTCCCAATGCTATTGCAGCCCTATTTTAGGGTTAGGGGTGTGCACCAGAGTAGGATTAGGGTTAGGAAAATGAGGTGTCCTGGCACAATTCTGATGGTTGGAATGTGTTTAGAATGGGCAGAAAGGATGAGCTGTGCAGAAAAAGCTACTCCGGGAAGGCTTTTTCAAAATCTCCCACTTTTCAGTGGAACTTTACCCCCATATTAGGGTTAGG